TTGCCTCTTACTCAATCACAAATTTTATTTAATGTTGCAAATTCAGAAGCTCAATCCGAAAAACCACCTAGGTGATTTATAAATTAAAGGCCCATTTCTACTACCAAAGCTGTCAAAACCGAAGAAAAATTAAATGAGAATGTCTCTAGAACAAAAAACTAGATATGGAAAAAAGCATTCTCGGAGTGCCTAGGCACAATCAAAATTCTTAGCCATTGACAATACTCATTCGGACCAGAGACGGTCCTAGAAAACAAAGGGGAGTGATAACATACATGCTCAAAAAGCAAGAAAAAATGGCTCATAATAAACAGCCATAAAAGTGAGACATTCTCAAAAATAATTAGTAACTTCGGTTTTGATCAGCACAATAAAAGATAAGGGACAAATTGTTTTGACGACCAGGGACGGTCTAGATGGGCAAGGGAGGTGTAAGACATATCCGTTTATTTCCTAACCTATGGTGATCTTTTGGATATAATTGAAAAGTTAATCTTTTGTAATCTTTTATATTTAATGGATTTTCCCAGCCATTTTAATATTTTTATTGTTTATTACTATTTCCTGTGACACATCCCATTCACATGCTTATGTTTATATAATGTTTAATGTTTCTCCAATAAATCAGTTCGCAGTTAATCAGTTTTAATATATTTGCCCCGAAGGGAAAGCACACCGGTGTGGCTTAGTAAAGAGGTATATGCTTGGGTCTGGCCAACCCATAGCTGTCCTTAGGGAATATAATGTATTTGTGTCTAGGTTTGGTTTATAGAATGGTCCCAGCACACTTCCATCTCACTGTTTTTAAATTTTGTATAATAATCTTACGGAGTTTTAAACAAACTCCCAAACATGAAAATTCAAAACTTTAGCAGGATTATGTATGAATATAATTAAAACATTTATACTAACTTATGAACTTCTAAAAACTTTATGTGATTTATTTATTTAATTTTTGCATATTAAGTAAAATCACGATTGTTATTACAATACAATTGTGTCTTTAATCCTTATTAAAACTTATTATAAAATTCGACAGAATCCTATATTTAAACACGTTCTTAAATGTTTAATTCAAGTTCTAACTTTAATAGGTTCTTACTTAATTAAACTCCTTACTATAGATCTTGATTATTGAATTTAAAATAAATATAACCTTCCATTTCTCCATTTCTTTATATGATAATGCACAAAATGAGAAGACGGCAATTTCAAATTCCAAACTAGTTCCAATTATAATTCTTCTTTTATTCAACTTCCCATTTTCTATAAATTCAACTTGCATATCTTTTATTTCTTCCTTTAATTTTAAAAATTTTAGATAAAATTTAACATATTTTTGAAACAACACAAAAAGAATGGACGATTCAGTAATTTAGAAACTTATGCCAATGTATCATTTTTCTATTTACAATAGGATCACCAAATTTACATAAGATCTTTTTTGGGAAAAGAGAGCTCTACTCCTCAGCAGTGATGTCAAAGTTCCAGTTCCAGAACTAGAACTACGGAACTAGCGATTATCTGGAACTAGTTTGGAACTAGAACTACGGAACTAGTAAATGCCTGGAACTAGCTTGGAACTGTAACTACGGAACTAGTCGATGACTCTCTGTTCTATATAAATTTATAGAGCAGAGAGTAAGCTTTTGCTCTATATAAATTTCTGTTGGAAAAACTCTATAATGTACATAGAATTATTTTGTTCAGCTTTTTTAATCTTTATGAGAGGCTAAATAAATAGAAGGAAATGAAAACGTAGATTTGATAACGAGAGACTGAGATAACGAGTGATTTAGTCAGATTAATTGAAGGATTTGGGTGGTTAATAGTGATAAAATGATAGTTTTTTCTCATTTACTATCCATCCCACACTTATACACAAGCTTATCAAAATTTATTTTTAAAGTATACAGTGTTGTTTTTAAACTCCAAAGAATGAATTTTCATTGTAGATTGTTCACGTAGAAACGAATGCCAGATTCCCTTCCCTTGTGTGAATTGGCAAAATAAAGAGTAGAATTCTTAAATTATTTTAAAATTATGAATAAAAATTTTTTCAGTAAATTTTTAATTATATACATATTAAGGCCTTCTAAAACACTAATATGCGCTTGGACCTTATATGAAATTTAGTTTCAATAATATATAAAGAAAAATTTTATTACTTTACAAAAGAACCATTCTCGGTCATTAATTTTGTATAGTATACCGTATTTCCTAAAATGTACTCCCCCTTGATTTAATACCAGTGATGGGTATGGCTCCGGGAGCTAGCTCCAGAGCCGGAGCCAAGATTTTGAAAGCGCGGAGCCGGAGCCAACAAATGGCAAATAACCAGCACTGATTAGCACTCCCCCCCCCCCTCCTTAAATAATGCTCTCCTTTGGGGATTATTATTCAAAGAATGAATTTCAAAAGAGTACTCCAATGAAAAAGAGTACTCCTGGGAGTACTATTATCGGAAATACGGTAACTTCCTCTGTAAAGTTAATGTAAAGTTAAGTTTTAATGTTAAGTTTATATGAGATAATTTAAAAAATTATTTTTATTAAACTAACGCGGTTCTTCTACAGAAAATAAAAGTTGTTCAACTTTTTCAATAAAATTCATTTTTTTCTTATTTTCGTAAAATAACTTTGCAGCTTTTTGAAATATTGAAGTTCTGTTTAATACTTGAAAAAATTGAGTTCGAAGGCCAATATTATGAAAATTATCCTTCAAACAAAACAACGAATTTTTAATTTTTGAATAAAAAACTAACACAAAGTCGAACATATGCATCATTTAAAGGACTGTGAGGAAAAATGTTAGGAGGATGAGTTAATTGGCTATAAAATAAGATTATTAGATTTGTCCTAAGCCAATAACTAATTAAGTTAAACCCATCAATTTAGGCTCAATTTTTTAAATCAGTCGACGTGTTTTAGGTACAGAACCTCACTTAATAACTATTTGGATTATTAAGTTCGTGTTGCCTTTTTATTCTGTAGGATCTATTTCACTCAGTAGGATCTATAAAAAATAAAAAGCAGAAGACCTCATTCCATTTTCTAAACTTTTAATTTCATAACGCTTTCCATAGAATGCTCTGTTTAGTTCATCCATTCTAAATAAAATTTTAAATGGTGATGGTCTTATTTCATAATATGCAGCAACATTAATTGAACACAAAATGAAATAAATTAAGATTTTCATCTGAAAATAAATAAAGAAAATTTCAAGGAAATGTTATTTTCTTAGCGAGACTTTCCAAAAATTCTATTAATAATCACAAAAAACGACTGAGACCATCATCGGCAGTCTCAAATTTTTAAATGTCGTTTTGCTGTTGTTTAACTTTTCACAATTTAATATTATTTTATTTAATAATTTTACAATAATATCTTATATTACAAAAAATTATTCTACTGGAACTCTCCATTCAAAAAAATGGAGAGTTACAGATAACCATTAACACTATAATCGTAAAATTGAAAACGAACGCGTTTTTGAATAATCTTTTGGTTTCCCGCAATTATACGAAAAATTGGTTAGTTATTGGAATCCCAATTATAAAAAATAAGTCCTCTCCGTATGTTAATCACGGTTTAGTAATCTTTAGGATAATCAAGTTTATTTAAGTAAGTAGAGGACATTGCTGCGCTTTTAGAAGAGGGGGGGGGAGGTGGCGGTGAGCTTTTTAATTTTTAGTTTTTACTTTTATTAAAATTACTTATAGTATTAGACTTTTTTAAATTAAAATAATTTTTATAAGGAGAAAATTTTTTAATGAATTTAAACTGCCTTCGATAGTCAATAATATATAATACAGAGCTGCTTAAAATCCCTCTCACTCGAATTTCCATTACCTCTTGCCTCCCTTCCCTCCCATAATTTGACCTTTCGCTACTCAGTTACACGTGTTTAACTATTAATATGCCCTTTTTTGTATCTTTCATTTTAAAACTCGTATCTAGGGGAAAATTAAAAGCGAGAGACTTTGATTATTGATTAAGATAAATATTAAAATTTATTTCTTAATTATATAAATTAAAAATTAATTATAAAACTTTAAAATTTAAATGTTATTGAAGATTCAGAGTTGCTGCATGATTTCGTCTTGGTGATCTGTTGTTTTAAAAGATCTAAAAATAAAAAATTTCGCCTAATAATAATTTTTATTCCGGTCAACAGATTGCAACAATAAATGTAATGCAACACATGGAGACGTTAAAAAGAATTTGAATGTTGATAAATATAAATTATAACATAATAAATTAATATGCCCAGAAAAATATTAATCTGTAAATTAAGTCAAAAGTGGCTGGAGAAAAAACTCCAGCATCTTGTTTTTGTTCGTTTATTACCCATAGTGTCGTGGACAGCGACCAGTGATAATAAATAGTTTAATGTTTATTTTTGTTAGTTCCGAGCCACCTTCCGAGCCATAGCTAATGAGAGTTTCTTCTCCTTAACTAACCAATATTCGAGATATGTAGAACCATTTGGAAATTAATTAAAAAAGCTGTTACCGAACCGGAACCGCCAAATTTGGGCATTCCCGCAGCTTTGTAATCGATTCACTACTTTTACTATATTTGATTTTTAAATTGTTACGGCACTCTATGTTGAATAAAAAATTATATTTAATCTTTAATCATACAATTCAGAAAAGAAAAAATGATTTAATTAAAATAATGTGTAGTGAAAGGAAGAACACAATTTATGTTATTAAATTTGGTGTCAAAATTTATTTTAGTATTTGGTGCAAAAAATTAATTAAATTTGGTAATCTGAAAATTTCATTTCAAAATAAATAATTCTGATTATCCAAAAAATTTAGATCATTCAAAAACTTAAGATATTCTAAATCATTCATTTCGCAATTTAGTGGAATTGGATGTCCATCATCTAATTGTTGGACATTTTCTTGTTCCTGGTTGTTTAAATTATTTACTACACCCTCATCCGGATGTTGATTAACATATGAATTTCCTTCAGAATTGTCATTTCCTTCCTTATTATTTACCTGAACATTCTCGTTACATTCAATTGGCAATTTACCTTTATTGATATTATTATCATTCAGTGAATTTTCTTTTTCATTTATTCTTCTTAAATAATATTTTTTATTATATTCTCTTCTCATTTCATTCTTATCCATACTAGATTCACGGAGCTTTTCCTTATTATTTTGATAGTAATTCTTATTATATTCTTTTTTCGCTAACTTTTTTACGTCCACATTATTGCCCGTATTGCCCCTTCTAATAAAATCATCATTTTGTATGATTACTTGTTCATTTTTCTTCTTTAGATAGTATTTTTGTTTATATGCTCGCCTCTTTTCTTTATTATTTTGTTGATAATTTCGATTATAATCTTGTTTCTCCTTTTTGTGTTGCTGGTAGTAATCCTTCAAATATTCATTTTTCTTTAACCTTTTTTCTTTTTCATTATTTTCAGTTTTGTGCTTTTTTGTAACTTTGGCATTTGGTTTTAGAGATCCTTTATATTTTTCAATTTGAGGAGCAACCGATGATTCAGCCCTATCATTTATAGCTTTATCTAAATTCTTTGAAGTTTTCTCAACTCTAGACAACTCTTGTTGATTTTTATTAATTTTAACAGAATTAATTAAACTCCATAATATCGAATTGAAAATTAAAAAGATTAAAACACTATCAGGTTTCATTCTAAATTAATTTCTGAAAAATTATTAAATAATAAATATTATATTAATTAAAAATTGAATGGAATAAAAAATAAATAATATTTAACAGTTTAGTAAAGGTCGTTATTATTAAATATATTGTCAAAATATTTATTAGAATTATGTAATCTCAAATGACATTTTCTCAGACGTTTTTAGTACTTTTATAATTATGTCTGTGAAAACAGATTTCGTTATGTTATTTAGTAAGAATGTCCTTTTATTCCTCTATGAAATACATAAGTTTGTTTACTTGTAAATGCCGATTGTCCTTTAAATTAGAATTAAAATTGTTTTTTAATTAATAAAAGAATAGAATTGAAGAAACTTTATGGGATTTAACTAAAATATTAAATTGTTGTAATTCGGCCACGGAGTGTCGAATTACAACTTTAATTGAATAATTTTCTAAATTATAAAATTTATTTTGCGTTCTAGCACTCACCACACTAATGTGTAGAGAGTTCTTAAAGAAATTCTAAATACAATTTTTTGTAATAATACGGCAGTGTACTTTCATTTCCGAAATTTGCTTTTCCCATAAAGATTTAAAGGAAATTGTTTACTTAATAAATGCACTTTGATATTTCAAAAATGTCTGTCATTAAGTCATATTTCGGCTTAAGCTTTAATTACATTTATTAATTTAAATAATAAATAATATAAGAAGTCTAAATATAAGTTAATAATTAATTATTTAATTATTTTTCGTTATAAAAATCACTCTTTATAAAATTTTACAATTAATTTAGGATGAAACTTGATAGTATTTTAATCCTTTTATTTTTCAATTCGATATTATGGAGTTCAATTAATTCTGTTAAAAATAATAAAAATCAACAGGAGTTAAGAAGAGCTGAGGGAACCTTGCATGAAAAATCAAATGATGGGGCTGAATCATTGTTTGCTCCTCAGATTCAAAAATATGGAGAAATGTTAAAACCGACACCTACACTAACAAAAAAGGAAACAAATAAAAATAAAGAAGAAGAAAAAAGGTTAAAGAAAAGGGAATATAATAAAAATAACTACCAGAAAAATAAAGATAAAAGAACGGAATATGATCGAAAATATCGGGAACAGAATAAAGAGAAAAGAAAAGAAGTTGATCGAAAATATCGGGAGAAGAATAGAGAAAAAAGAAAAGAAACTGATCGAAAATATCGGGAGAAGAATAAAGAAAAAAGAAAAGAAACTGATCGAAAATATCGGGAAGAGAATAAAGAGAGAATAAGCGAAAGGAGGAATTCTGCAAATTATAAACAATATAAAAAAGAATATGATCGAAACCATAGAGAAGAGAGGAAAGAATATAACCGAATGCGCCGGCAGAAAAAGAATAATCAAAAAGAAATTCATGGAAATGGTATTTTAAAAATGAAAAAGGTTCAATCTGATAATAATTTAGGAACTTCTATTAATTCACCGAATAATAATTCTGAAAATAAAGGAAAAGATCCAATAGTTTGTGAGGATTATGAACAGATAAATAATTCAGAAAGAAATTCTCTTGTTAATTCAACTACTGATTGTGTAAACAATTTATCCGGCTCAATTTTATACAATGTTGGAGAGGGTAATGTACAAACAGCAGATGCAAATGTTAGTAAACAGATTGAAGACAATAACGATGTGTTTGATCTAAGTTTTTTGGATGATCCAGATTTTTTGAATAATCTAAATTCTTGAAATTTCAGATAAACAAAAGGATGTATCTGAATTTTATGTATGAAAACAAAAATCAAAATACGAATAAATTCTGTTTCTTGTACACTAAATTCATGTCTTTTTTCATGTTATTTTTAACTAAATATAAAGCATAGCATTTAGATTAAAATTCTTAAACCATTTAATTCTTTCCATTTTTCAAGTTCACATAAATCGTTATTAATTTGATCTCTTTCCTTGCCGTTTTTATGAGCTATATATAGATTTCATCGTCTGCGTATAGTTTTATTCCAACAATTTCGGGGAATTCATTAAGACGATCATTTATATAAATAAGGAATAAAAGTTGTTCTAGAACACTTCCTTGAGGTATACCTGAGAATGTTTCATAGTTGTGGGATAATTGGCCACCAATTTAATCTTGAAATTTCTATCTGATATGAAGTTTTTAATAAATGTACAAACTTTTCAACTTATGTCTTCATACCGCTTGATCTAGCACAAGGCTTACCGTATCCAATAATATAAGAGCTTAATTGGAATGTTCTTCAACTAACTAAATGAATGACTCACATTCCAGGCCGAATGAAGCAATTCTACTATTTGTCTTAAGATTATAAACTTCTTATCTATAGGCGGTTTTATCGCTTGTCTCTCACTGATTGCACTTTGCAACTTCCTATTGACTAGCGTATGAATTCCGTTTTTCCCTATTCACGTGAATTTCCTTATTCGCTTTATCAATCAAAGTCCATATACATAGCTCACGAATTTAACTTTAGTTTACAATATTTAAATACATAACTCAGAAAAAAACTGGAAATTTAATTTAATTAATTTAAAAAATTTTTTGTTTTCTTATTTAAATTCAAATCATTCACATCCTTGTCTGTAAGATTCAAGATGTTAAATTTTTCAAAAAATCCGGATCATCTAAAAAGCTCAGATCAATCAAATCGTTCTGATCATCCACTTGTTTAATAGAATGTACATCTGCTTCTTGACAAGTCCTCTCTCCATAAGGATATGTTGTTGATTCGTATCTGCTCTTTACACAATCTCTATTCTGTTGATTATCAAATGAAGTTCCTTCTCCAATATAATTTCCCTCATTGTTTATCTGTCCATTCTTTTCACTAAAAATAAGATCGACACTCTTATTGTTCAAATCATCAATCTGGTGAGTAACAAAAGAACATCCCTCATTATCTAATTTCAAACTATCATTTTGTCCAATTTGTTTTTCGTTTTTCATTCTTAGACGGTACTTTCGCATAGATTCTTTTATTTTTTCTTTGTTATTTTGGCGGTACTTTCGTAGACTTTCAAGCCTTTTTTCTCTATTATTCTGATAGTAATCTTTCATATATTTTAGCATGTCTTCTTTATTATTTTCGTAGTAATTTCGTAAGTATTTTTTTGTATTTTCTTTATATACTTCAGAATTCTGTTTATAATTTCGAACCTGTTCTTGAATTTTCTTTTTATTCCTCTGGTAATAATTTTTAGCATATGCTTTACTCTTTAACTTTTTTTCTTCTAAATTATTTCCTGTTTTGTCGTTATTTGTAATTTTAAATTTTGACTTTTCATTAGTTTTCTTAGTTTGAGGAGCAACTGATGTTTCAGCCACGTCAGAAAATAATTTTGGTCGATCCTTAGACGAATAATCATTTTCGGCATTTATTGTTAAACCTTTATTTGTTGTATTAGTTTTAACAGAATTAATAAAACTCCATAATAATGAATTGAAAAATATAAAAATTAAAGCGCTAATAAAATTCATCCAAAATCAATTTTAAAAAATTATTTATAAAATTAGTTTTTAGGTGAATTAATAAATTTAATTTAAAAACAATTATGAAGATGTTTTATATTCGATTTACTAGACTCTTTTTAAACTTAGTCTTTCTTAATAATTAAAAAATATATTTGATATGCACTTTCATGTCAAAGAAATTTTATTTTATTTTTATAATTTCTATACAATCAAAAGTGCAATTTCACTCTGATTTTGTCTGGTATCCTGTTTTTAAGAATATCTACTTTTTTCCCAAAAGCTTTTCCGATATTTTCAAAGATATAAGAAGAATTATTTAATAATTGTCCTTTTGATGCATATTTTGTTTGTCATTATGTATATTTTGGCTCAAGCTTAGCTCGCCTTGCAAAATCAAGCGAAATCTCTTTTTTTGTCTTAATCAATTATCACATTTTTGATTTTTGGAACAGAACTCAGAAAATAATTTTGGTCGATCCTTAATTTTGGCCTTTATTACCAAAAAATAAAATAGGAAAAAATATACTATTTTCATTTTGATAAATAGTTATAGAAAATGCCAAAATTGGTGAAAAAAATATTAAACTATGTTCCTCAAATGAGAAAAGTTTGACATAAATGGCGACTGGGCAAAAAAAACAAATATTTCTATTTTTGTCCATAAATGTATTGGTAATGGATTTGTTGAGCAGCCTCCAAATCCTTCTGTAGTATATTCTCGAATTATAAAAATGTTTTTATGAAATTCTCCTTCAAAATTGATAATAAATATTTCGACACGTTATTCTATTTGTATGAATTTTTTCCCAAAATATATTAGAAAAATTTTGTTGTGAAATTGTCCTTTAATTTAAAAACATATCCGCTTTAATAAATATTACGACAAGTTATATCGAAATATTGAACTTTTAATAATTCATGAGATAATTTATTTTATTACAAAATATATGGCATAATATACCGGGTGTATTTATATTCCTGTCATATTTTTATTTAAATATACATTATTTTCAATTTAAAAGAAATTATTTTTAATTAGAATATTTAAAATAATTTTAGAATGAATCTTATTAAATTTTTACTGATTGTAACTTTCAATTCGATCGTTTGGTGTTTAATTGATTCTGTTAAAAAGGATACAACAAAAACAAGTTTAATAAACGATGAAAATGATATTTTATCTTATGATCGAGTAAAATTATTTATTGATGGGGCAGAATCTTCGGATGCTCCTCAAATTCAAAAATTTGAAGAAATATTAAAACAAAAAACTAAAGTTCACAAAAATGATATGAGTGGAGTTGAAGAAAAAAAGTTAAAAAGGAAATTATATGCTAAAGATTATTATCAGAAAAACAAAAAGAAAGTTCAAGAATATAATCGAAATTATCAGAAAAATTCAGAACTAAACAAAAAAACAAAGCAAAAATACATGCAAAAATATTACGATAATAATAAAGGAAGCATGATAAATTATAATAAAGATTATTATCAGAATAATAAAGAAAAAATTCTTGAAGCCCAAAGAAAGTACCGCCAAAATAATAAAGAAAAAAGAATTGAATATAATCGTAGATACCAAGAAAAGAAGAAAAACAAAGAGGCAAACTTACAGGATATTTACCAGAAATTATTAGAAGTTCAATCTGATAATGTGGAAGGAAATTTCTTTATTAGTCCACAGAATGATGATTTTAACAATAAAGGTAAATCGCCTATAGTTTGTGAAGAGAATGATCAATATAATAATGAAACAAATGTTAATGCAGCTAAAATTACATTTGTTAATTCTCAGAATTATCAAAATGTAAATAATTCCAACGACTCAATTGCATACCCTCATGGAGAGCATAATGTTCAGGAGGTTGATGGGCATCTTGTTCAACAATCGAATGCTAAGGATGATTTGTTTGATTTAAGTTTTTTGGATGATCCAAATTTTCTGAATGATCTAAATTCTTGAATATTTCAGATCAACAAGAGAATAATTTGAATTTTAAATATGAAATAAAGTAAACATATTTTTCCGCTTTCTGTAACAAATTTTTTTAAATAAATGAGTTATCTAGTTCAAAATCGAATAAGTGTGCGGTCATATTGGTGTGTTAGCAAATTATAACTTCTACCTCTTTTGTATATTCTTCCATGTTCCGATTCTCAAAGTAATAAGAAATCTTTATAGGTGATTTGCTAGCATTGCCTGAAAAAATTTATTAAAAAATCATTTAAGGCAATTTAAAAAATTATTTAAATAATAATTTTCATTAAGTGTATGAATTATTTAAGTTGTAAATTTTAATTTTTAAAACCGTAAACATACATATTAAAGGAAATATTATTAGCATCCTGTTATTAATAGATATTGCTAAACTCACCGGATTTAAATCCGATGGATTATTCTGTTTGGTCAATTCTATAGCAAAAAGTATGCCGAATCCGATACGCCACAACAGAGCTACTGAAAGTTGTTTTGGAGCGGGATTGGAACGAAATAACTGATGAAAAAAGGCACCATCATTGTGAGTAACTTCCAAAACGTTTGGATGCGTGTATTTCAGTCAGGAACAGTCATTTTGAGCAATTACTTTAATTAAATGTTTTTTATATTCTATTTATTATATTTTATTTTTTTGAATAAATTTTTTACAATAAATTTTATTAAAAACATTTGTCGCGAAATTTCGCCCCACCCTGTACGGTGCCCTGTAGTCTCGTCAGAGGTTAGTTTCGTCTGAGGACATTTTCGTCAGAATCAGTTTCGTCAGAGGCCTTTTTCGTCAGAGAACAGTTTCGTCAGACAGTTCGTCCAGCTTCATCCGATTCTTTACCTTATTAAAGCACATATAGTCTTACAAATAAAATACAATCCGATTCTTTACCTTATTAAAGCACTAATAGTCTTAATTCTAAATTAATTTGAAAATTTATTATTGTCATTGGTCGTATTATGAATATAATATTTCGGATTTAAGAAAAAGATTAAAAATTTTTTAATATGAATGAATAAACAGTAAATTATGGACAGTAATTTAATAAACAGTAATTTATGATCGTCGATCATGGACAATGCTCGGCCGTAAGAAACATAAAGAAAGGATGTTTTTCATATTTACATATTAAAAATTTCAATCATCAATTTTTCGATCTAAAATATTCAAGAATTTAGATTTTTCAAAAAATCTGGATCATCCAAAAAGCTCAGATCAAAATTCTGAGTATCGACATGTTTAATCAAATTTCCATCTCCTCCATGAAAATTTTGCTGTTCATAATTGTATTCAATTGATTCGTCTAAATTATCTACACAATCATCTGTGTGTGGATTAACAAAGTAATTTCTTTCAGAATAATTATTATTACCTTCATTATTATTTAACTGAACATTTTCTGAATAAAGCATTGGCAATTTATCTTTATTACTACAATTTTCTTTTTGCGGATTAAAAAAAGAATTTGCTTCATTATTATCAGATTGAACGTCTAACAAATCTGACGTATTATTTTTTAAAATTTCTTTTTCATTTTTCTTTTTTAGTCCGTAAATTCGCTGATATTCAAGCTTTTTTTCTCTATTATTTAAATACAATTTGCGCTGTGCTTCTCTTGTCCTTCCAGAAATTTTTTCGGAAATTTCCTTTTCTTTGTCTAAATTTACTTTCCGAATTTCTGCTTCGTTTTTATTTTTTGAAATAAATTTTTGATTATATTCTCTCATCTTTTCTTTATTATTTTGGCGGTATTTTTGGGCATAATCTAGCCTCTTTATTTTATTAATATTGCGGTATTTTTGATCATGTTCTTTCCTTTTTACTTTATGTTTTACAGAACTTCTCTTTTCTTTTATTTTTTCTTTATTATTTTGTCGATAATTTCGATCATATTCTTTCTTCTTTAGCTTTTTTTCTCCTTCATCATTTACAATTGTGTCCTTTGTATTAATTTTGGTATTTGGTTTCAGAGTTTCTTTATATTTTTGACTTTGAGAATCAACCGAAGATTCAGACCCATCATTTAATATTTTGTTTAAATCCTTTGAAGTTTCCTCAACTCTAGTTGACTCGTTTAGATTTTCATTATTTTTAACAGAATTAATTAAACTCCATAAAATTGAATTGAAAATCAAAACGATTAAAACATTAATAAGTTTCATTTTAATTTATTTTTAAAATTTTTTTAGAAATTAATTTTATTATTAATGGAAATGATTAATTATATTCATTTCTCTTGGAATATTTATATTTTTTATTTGGCTTAAAGTTTCATTAAATGAGTCAAAATTTATTTAATGTCAGACTGATATGATATCTAAAAGGACAACTATTGAATAATTTTCTTTAAATTTTTTAGAAATGTGGAAAAATTATGTGCTTTTGAAATCAAACTTATTATTGAATATATACATATATAGTTATTATTGGGAATTTATTGTTATTTAAAAAATAAATATTTATAGCATAGCAAGAAGAAAGATTTCATCAATTTTTAATATTAAGCTACTCACAAAAACCAAATCTTGAACAATGTTCAGCTTCATTGTCACTCACGACACTAATGTGTAGAGAGGTCTTAAAGAAATTCTAAATACAATTTTTTGTAATAATACGGCAGTGTACTTTCATTTCCGAAATTTGCTTTTCTCATAAAGATTTAAAGGAAATTGTTTACTTAATAAATGCCCTTTGATATTTCATAAATGTCTCTCATTAAGTCATATTCCGGTTTAAGCTTAAATACATTTATTAATTTAAATAACAAATAATATAAGAAGTATAAATAGAAGTTAATAATTATTTCTTTAATTATTTTTCGATTACTCTTTAAAAAATTTTAAAAATTAATTTAGGATGAAACTCATATGTATTTTAATCATTTTAATTTTTAATTCGATATTATGGAGTTTAATTAATTCTGTTAAAAATAATGAAAATCAAAACGAGCTTAATAGAGTTGAAGAAACTTCAAAAAATTTAAATAAAATATTAGATTATGGGGCTGAATCATCAGTTGCATCTCAAATTCAAAACTATAAGGTAACGTTAACAGCAAAACCTAAAGTTGCAAAAAAGGATAAAACTGGAAAAAACCAAAAAAGGATAAAACATATAAACCAAAAAAGGATAAAACATTTGTTTATTTATGATATCTTATTTGTTTTCTTCAATAAGGTTTTAGTTTTAAAAAATTTCGTAAAACTTTATTTTAAGACATAGTGAATAAATTGACATAAAAGAGATTTTAAAAATAAATTTAAAATATTTATCTCACAATTAAAATTTACAGAGTTGCTGTAAAAGTGAGAAGGTTGAAGAAGGCTTTTTAAGAAGTATTGGAGAATGATTAGTAGAAGACAATGTTTAGGTGGTTTTGGGAGGGGTTCGGCAATAGTATTTTGGCCGATGGACAAAATTAATAGAAAAGTTTGGGCAAAAAGTGATGAAATTGTGGGTTGTGCAAACAAAGAAAAAAATTTCAATTCAAAATTAATAAAAAATTAAGAAAAATAAAGATGAAAAAATTCGTTCATAATTTTGTAGTATTTCCATATAGCAACAAGTAAGAGCAAATAAATACACAGAATGGAAAGAGAATTTTGTGTTTTCATATTTAGTATTCAAAATCAACATTATTATCTGAAATGTTTTCAAGAATTAAGGACAGAATCTAGATAATCCAAAAAATCCGGATCATCGGATCATCAAATCCGGAACATCAATAATGTAAATTTTTATATAAGATTTATAAACAATAGTGGGCAATCTGCAAAAAAAGCCAAAGATTAATTATATATTCAGAAAGCAAAGCTAATTTTTTTATCTTATTTGAAATAAAAATCATTCTTTAATTTATTTGAAATTTCACGAATTTAGATTATTAAAAAAATCTGGATCATCCAAAAAACTCAGATCAAACACATCATTAATGTCTTCAATCTTCGAATAAAATTTGCATTTGTCGTTTGAACATTACCCTCTTCATCATTTTCTTGTTCTGGGTTTTGCAAATTATTCATTACACCCTCATCCATCTGAAGATTAACGTATGAATTTCTTTCGGTATTATCATTTCCTTCCTTATTATTTACCTGAACATTCTCGTTACATTCGATTGGCGACTTACCTTTACTTATATAATTATCATTCTGTGAATTTTCTTTTTCATTTTTTCTTTTTAAATAATATTTTCTATCATATTCTCTTCTAATTTTCTTTATTCTTTTGAATATAATTTCTATCATATTCTCTTTTCTTTTCTTTATTTTTTTGATAATAATTCTTATCATATTCTTTTTTCGCTAACTTTTTTTGGTCCTCATTATTTCCAGCAGTGTCCCTTTCAATAAACTCATCGTTTTGTGGAGTAACAAAAGAAGTTCCTTCATTATTATCAGTTCGAATGTTTCCTAATTCTGACTTATCTTTTTGTAGGATTTCTCGTTCCTTTTTCTTCTTTAGATAGTATTTTTGTTTAGATTTGCGAATCTTTTCTTTATTGTCTTGACTATAATTTTGCATGCTTTGAACCAGTCTATCCCTATTCTTCTGATAGTAATCTTTCAAATATTGTAGTCTTTTTTCTTTATTATTTTGTAGTAATTTCTATATTGGTTTTTTATCTCCTTTTTGTGTTGCTGGTAGTAATTCTTCATATATTCTTTTTGCTTTAATTTAGCTTTTTCTCCATTATTTTCAGTTAATTGCTTTTTTGTAATTTTGGTAGTTGATTTTAAAGTCTCTCTATATTTTTCATTTTGGAGGGCAACCGATGATTCAGCCCCATTATTTAATATTTTATTTAACTCCTTTGAGGTTTCTTCAACTCTAATCAACTCGTTTTGATTTTTATTATTTTTAACAGAATTAATTAAACTCCATAAAATCGAATTGAAGAATAAAAAAATTAAAACACTATCAGGTTTCATTCTAAATTTATTTATAAAAAATTATTAAATAATAAATTTATATTAAATAAAAGTTGAATGGAATACAAAATAAAAAATATTTAACAGTGTAGTAAAGGTCGTTATTATTAAATATATTGTCAAAATATTTATTAGAATTATGTAATCTCAAATGCCATTTTCTCAAACGTTTTTAGTACTTTTATAATTATGTCTGTGAAAACAGATTTCGACATGATATTTAGTAAGATTGACCTTTTACTCCACCATGTTTTATTAAGAAATGCCTAGTGTCCGTTCAAATTTTAAATAGAAATTATTGTTTTATAATTTATAAAAATTTTATTTTTAAAAAATATATAAAATTAATTTAAAATTAAACTGTGTTTTTTGATGTTTGAAATCTTTATTCGGTTTATGGTGTTTAATTAATTCTGTTGAAAATAATAAAAATCAAAAGGAGTTAAGTAGAGTTGAGGAACTTCAAAGGATTTAAATATAATATTAAATGATGGCGTGAATCATCGATTGCTGCTTAAAGTCAAAATTGCTGCTTAAGGTCAAATTATAGCTTAAGGTAAATAGTATCTAAAATACTACCATAAATGAAGAATAATTGAAATTTTTTGAAGCTTCCACAATTCTAGTCAACTTGTTTTGATTTTAATAATTTTCAACTGTCAAACTTTAAAATATTCTCCTTTGATTTTATAAAAATTTTCGTCCTCAATTTTTAATTTAATTTATTACATGTATTAACCATATACATTTAAATTGATCGCTTTCGTAATATCATATAAAATGTTACATTTTACTTATATTTTTTGCTTTTAGAGTAAAGGTGAAGAATCCAGGTCCGAATATCCATAAATTTTGGATATCCGAATCCGGATTAAACAATCCGGCTTCAGACTCATTTTACCATCATCAATTTTAATTTTTTAATTTAAGATTTTCTATGATGTTTGTTAGACTGTCCTTTGAGATTTCATAATTTGTCGGCTTTAATAAATATGTTTACAAAATAAGTACTATTTAGCAATATTGCCCTTTTACATATAATCATAAAAAAGTACATACCTTTATTACAAAATATATGTAAAATAAACCGGGTGTTTTTACCTATATTCATTTTAAATTATCCTTATTATTTAGCGGTAATTAATAAACATTTATTAAAATAATTTTTATTTTAATTTAGAATGAAATTATTTTATGTTTTAAGCATTTTAATTTTCCATTCGATATTATGGTGTTTAATTAATTCTGTTAAAAATAACAAAAATCAACAAGAGTTAAAAAGAGCTGACGGAACCTTGGTTATACATGAAAAATCAAATGATAGGGCTGAATCATCGTTCGCCCCTCAAATTGAAAAATATGGAGAAATGTTAAACCCAACTCCAACAATTACAAAAAAGGAAATAAATAAAAATAAAGAAGAAGAAAAAAGGTTAAAGAAAAAGGAATGTAATAGAAATCACTACCAGAAAAATAAAGAGAAAAGAAAGCAATATAATAAAAACTATCGACAAAACAATAAAGATAAAAGAAAGGAATATCTTAAAAATTATTACCAAGAGAATAAAGAAGAAAAGCTAGAATATGGTAGAAAATATTGGGAAAAGAATAAAGAGAGAATAAGTGAAAGGAAGAAATATACAGATCATGAATACTACCTAAAGAATAAAGAAAAGAAGAGAGAATATGACCGAATGCGCCGACAGAAGAATAATCAAAAAGTAATATGCAAAAATGGTATTTTAAAGGTGAAAAAGGTTGAATCTGATAATTATTTAGGTACTTCTATTAATCCACAAACTAATAATTGTGAAAATAAAGGAAAAGATCAAATAATTTGTGAAGAGTATGGACAGATAAATAATTCAGAAGGAAATTCTCTTGTTAATTCAACTTATGATTGTGTAAACAATTTATCTGGCTCAATTGTATACCCTGTTGGAGAGGGGAATGCTCAAACAGCAGATTCAAATGTTGTTCAACAGAGTGATGGCCAGAATGATGTGTTTGATCTAAGTTTTTTGGAGGATCCAGAATTTTTGAATAATCTAAATTCTTGAATTTCAGAAAAACAAAAGGTTGATCTGAATTTTATGTATGTAAACAAAAATCAAAATAACGAATAAATTCTGTTTCTTTTACTTTTAATCCATGTCTTTTTTCATGTTATTTTTAACTAAATATAAAGCATAGCATTTAGATTAATATTCTTAAACCATGTAATTCTTTCAATTTTTCAAGTTCACATAAAGCTTTATTAATTTGATCTCTTTCGTTGCCGTTTGTATGAGCTATATATAGTTTTCATCGTCTGCGTTTAGTTTTAATCCAACAATTTCAGGGAATTCATTAAGACGATCATTTATATAATTAAGGAATAAAAGTTATCCTAGGACGCTTCCTTGAGGTATACCTAAGAATGATAAAGGTTGTGGGATAATTGGTCACCTATCTTTATCTTGAAATTTCAATTAGATATGAAGTTTTTAAGAAAAGTATAAACTTTTACACTTTTGCCTGTCTTTTCTAATTTGTCTAAAAGAATATTTATTGGTACAGTATCAAATGCCTTAGCAAAGTCGATATAAATAATATCTATGTTATATCCATCTTGTATTGTGTTATATAAATCATCCATGGTAGATAATAACTGTGATTGTGGATCTTTATTTAGAAATCCAAATTGATTTTTATTAAAGAACTTATTATCTTCTAAGAATTTTGTTAATTGCTGTGCAATAATTCTTTCAAGAATCCTACATAAGGTGCATGTTAGCGATACTGGACGGTAATTTTTTGGATCTGATTTTTCTCCCTTTTTATACAGTGGAATAATGAGTGATGATTTCCAAATTGCTGGAATTTGCCCATTATCAATAATACATCTAAAGATATCTGTGACTATCTTTGCAAATGAGTCAGCGCAATATTTTAATAATATATAAGCAATGTTATCTGGGGAAGTTGAATTACGATTAGTAAGTGATCTGAGGACAGACTATACAATGCTATTACTTAAATCTATGTCAAAAATTTTGTTTTCGGAATTATATTTCTGTTATAATTTGATAGATTAATATTTTTGTTTTGGAAGTTTTTTTGAAATTCCTTTCCTAAATTATTACATTTTACTTCATTACTAAAGTAAAATTTATTTTCTTTATCAATTAAACAGGTTATGTTATTATCTTGGGTAAGTCTGTATCTTGGGTAAACTTATGTATCGAATTTCACCTTTATTTATTATTTTTTCTTCCTTATTATGTATTATGGTGAATTTTTAATTGTTTTTTCAAGTTTCTTGAGACAATTTTATACTCAAGTCTCAACTCGTGATCATGTTTTCTTTCTTTAAGGACTATGAATAATCTGAGTTTTTCCTTGTGTAATTCCTCAATCCGTTTAGGGTATATTTTCCTTATTATCTTATTCAAAGTTTTCATCTATATTTGTTATAAAGATATAACAATTCTTTTGTCAGAAAATTATATTTATCTTCCACAGTTTATCTTCCACAGTTTTTCTATATCGGCAGAATTTCAGAAAATTATAGAAAATCTTAATTGTTTAAATGAATTACCTTTGAGAGCAAAAAAGTGTCAAAAACCGGCTTTTTTGAACCAATCATAAGCTTAGAAGTTATATTTGTCTGCTTTAGAAAGAGCGGCTAGGCTCCGCTAAGCGGAGCCTAGCCGCTCGTATTATATAAAACGTTCCATTTTCATTCAATTTATAGCTCTTCAGACTCATTTGATAGATTTTATATTTTAATTTAAAGATTTTCTATGAGGTTTATGAGAATGCCCTTTGAGATTTCATAATTTGTCGGCGGCTTTAATAAATATGTTTACACAATATTTAGCAATATTGACCTTTTACATATAATCATTAAAAAGTGCATTTATGAAATATTATATGTCAAAATACACCGGGTGCTTTTACATATATTCAAATTAAATTACCTATCTTTTTATTTAGCGTTAATTAATAAAAATTATTTTATTAGAAAAAAAAATTTAATATTAATTTAAAATGAAATTAATTAGTTTTTTATTCTTTTTAATCTTCAATTCGATATTATGGAGTTTAATTAATTCTGTTAAAAATGATAAAGACAAGTTAACTAGAGTTGTGGAGACTTCAGAAGATTTAAATAAAACAATAAATGATAGAGCTGAATCATCAGTTACTCCTGGAACTAATGAAGAAGAAAAAGAGTTAAAGAGGAAAGAATGGAGAAGAATGACGTATCTAAATTATAAAGAAATGTATCTTGAAAGAAATAAAAAATTGTCTAAAATGAATAGAGAAAGGAAAAGAGAATTAAATCGAAAATGGGCAAAGAATAATAGGGAAAAACTGCTAGAATATAAACGAAATTGGAAAATTAATAATGAGGAAAAAGTTCTAGAATATAGACGGAGGTATAGTGAAAAAAAGAAAAATGAAAAGGAACTTCTACAATATGATTTTTCAAAATTAAAAAACGTACAAACTGATAATAATGGAATAAAGGAATTTATTAATACACAGATTGATAATTGTGAAAATAAAGAAACGGAGACATTTGTTTGTGAAACGAGCCTACAATTTGAACAAAAATGTAATCTTTTACGTTGTATATAGGACGCTTGAAGGTTATCAGTGAATTCTAGATCAGTCACCAAAATCGAGGGGTCAATGTCAGTCACCAAAATCGAGGGGTCAAAAATCGAGGGGTCAATGTCTGAAGAAGGAAGTAGGTGAGAGTTCGGGCCCGGAAATTTGTGAGATATCAAAAGCTTATGTGAGAGAAGTAGTCTCGCAATTAATGAGTGATAGTCTTTCAGTAAATAGGTGCGAATTTGCTAAAACCTCGTAATTTTTAACAATTTTAATATTTCAAAGTTAGAACGAACGTTTGTTGGCCGTAAAGCGGCGAACAAACGCTCATAAATTGTTAAATGAAGATCCTCCAAATCAAAAGCTTGGGGAAACTTTTAAATCAAAGCAAAAAATTACAAATAAGGACAAGACTGGAAATAATGAGGAAGTGAAAAATTTAATGGAAAAAGAATATAGTACTCAAAAATTAAAAAATGAAGTTTTGAAAGCAAAGGAAGGAGAATTTCGAGGAACTGAATCACAGGGAATTGGAAATTCATCACATGGGACTTCGAAAATAAACTGGCCGAAAGTATTCTATAATCTTAAATTGGACGGTGGCATCAATATCTGATATCAATATTAATCTATAACAGTTCCGTTCACCGTGTGAAGTTAGTTAAACTGAAAAAAATTCATCAAATAAAATAAATATTCAATTACTCATTATCTTTTTAAATTTATTAATGATAAAATTTTCATCGTTCTTCAATAAAAATACATATTGCATTTACTTCGTAAATTTAATTCTATTTTTAGCTTGAATTAAGTAAATTTGATCGCTTAAATATTTTGTTATTTATATTTGTAAAAGCCATGTTAAAATAAGTCTATCTTTTTAAACTTTAAAATTGATAAATACATGCGTTCTTTGACCCTATTTCAAAAGAAGGGCGGAATCGTTTTTTTCATTACCTGCAAGGAAAGGGAAAATGGAAAGAAATTATGGAAAGAAAAGATTAAACGGACGGACTCGACAAACAAAACACGGACTCCGTGTCCGTCCGTGCTTTGTTTGTCCGTGTCAATTTGTCTCATTTTTTTCATTTCATTTTCTCTATTTTTCCTTTCTTGCAGGTAATAAAAAAACGATTCCGCCCTTCTTTTCGGATAGGGCCCATTCTTTTTTATCAAACAAATATTATCTGTTTATTTATTTAAATTTTATTGAAGGATAGTTTTCTTTATTAAAATTTTTAGTATTTCACATAATTTGACATTAATTTTGATTTATGTCTTAATAATTTAAAAAAAGGTGAAATCTTTGAAAAATAAATTGAAAAATAAAATTGAAAATAGGTAAATTTGAAAAATAAAAAGAGAAATATTTAAAAGAAGTTGGATTGAGGGAATTATTTAAATATATTGGCAATATGGGAAAAATATATTAAGTAAAATACTAAAAATATTAAAAATTGTTTTAATTATAAAAGTATATAAACCCCTAAATTTTATAGAAATGGCAATTTCTATATTTCTGAAATGCAGAAAGCAAAATCTGCCAGACAGCTCGCTACTAGCAGGCGTGAAGCCGAGCGTATAACAACAAAAACTGATGCTCAACTCATTAAGGACGTTGAATGGATTATTGATAATTGGTATTTGTAAATAACAACAGCAAATCGCTTAACATATGCCGTTTTTTTCGAAACATGATAAATAAGTGAATATTTTCAGTTAAAATTTAATGTTTTTAATATGTAAACAAGTGCTCCACAATTATCGTTTTGCGAAGATGATATGAAGGAGTTTTGTTTTTAATAGGAAAATTAATGGGATGATGCAAAATCTTGCGGATACTATTTAGCGTATAAAGGTTTGAAACACTAGATCACGACGCAACGCTGATTCAGATTGGCCGTGTGGGCATGGGCTTCGTTTTCAAGAAATTAGAAATAGACTTAATTTTAGATTTGATACTCCACTTTATTCACACATTAAAAAATTGATTCCTTTTCAGTGATCTATTTTTTATTATAATTTAAAAAATTTTTTCGTAAATCGTTAAAGTTAAAAAATTCTTTAAAAGCATTTCCTTTAATTACTATGTACATTTTGGCATAATTTAATTAACATAATAATTTTTTTCAAGTTTATTTTTTTAAGTTTTCAATTTTATTTCGTCTCAAATTTGAAAAAAACTTTTTTTAAGTTTAATCTTTTTTTATTTTTAAATATTTGAAATTTATTTTTAAGTTTGCTAGTCTTTTATTAGATAGGATCACCCTCCCATTACCTTACCCACAACACATTTCCTTCATATTTAAACTGTCCCTTTTATAATTTTTAACTACTTGTTTCAACCCCTGCTTTACCCACAAGTTCTTATGTCAATTTAGCAAACCTGCTGGTAGATAACATGCCTCTGTGAGCAAGAGTTAGCCTTATTTAAAAAACAAAAATCTTATAGTTATTTTATTAGTAAACTTTAAATGATAACAAAAAAATAATAATGATTATAGAGATTAAATGAAATTAATTTTGACTAGCAATTTTTTTGAAATATATAGTAGGACCTCTAGTTGAGATCAGTCGACTGACAAATCCCATGTAAAGACAATTTCTAAAGATTGAGAGGCTGCCTAATCGCTACGAACGATTTAAGCCACCCCTTATATGATTTATTTGTTTCAACTTATATTGTGTATTTACACTAGTAGAGGTCTAACTATATTAAAATACAAATAATAAAATAGAGCTTTGTGAGATAAAATTTTTCGGTATCAAGACTTGACCAAAACTTGAGATGAAAATAAAAAACACCCGAAAAATTTCAATTCTCATGGCAAAAGTCTCTCGAAGCTCTAGTTTAAACTTTGAGTGCTTGTTGACTTTATCCTTTCAAATTTCTATTTATTAAAAGACGCTACTTAAATCCTTTAAAATAAAATTAGTTTTAAATAAGTGACCAAAACCGATATTGTGTATGATTTTGTAAAGCATATAGCTATTAATTTCCTAAGACTATGCAGTAGGCGGCATGGTGTAATGGCTAACACATCAGTCCGGTCTACTGAAGATGCTGGTTCGCTCCCAGCCGCCGATTAACCTTTTGCACTAGCTAAAGGAGAGAAATAGCGTTTTGACATGATCTTAGTTCGGTTTTCCCACTGCCCTTTAACTTCTCGAGTTTATCAACTATAAAATGTGTATTGAAACAATTAAATACTTAACGGTAAATTGCCCTTCTATCTAATATTTTGAATTGTTCATACTAAAAATTCTTACTAAAATTTCCCTCCATTTTTTGAGGAAATAATTAATTATCTAAAAGAGGATAAAGTCAACAATTACTTGGTTTGAGTATCAAACAAAGGCACATTGCCATCGGGATTAGAAAAAGGGCGAAAATAATGAAAATGAGTTATTTATTTGGTTATTGTTAGTAAATAAAATTCTTTTAAAATTTTTTTTTGAAATTTAAAAGAATTTTAAGAAAAAAAGGAATTAGCCAAAAAATAATAAAAAATGTGGAAAAAATACTCAAATTATCATGGTTCAGATTTTTTCAATAATGAAAATTTATTCAATAGAAATTCGGTTGATTCCCTAACCTAGCATTTAAAAAGCTCACTAGGCGGGGGTTTAAGATCTATTAAAAGAGAAGGTGAAAGCACCGTTCCGGTAGCTCAGTTGGTAGAGCACCGGTAGCTCAGTGGTAAGCGCTTAGCAATAACTGGCAGGAGGTCGCAGGATCGAAGCCTGCCCGGGATCAAACTTTTACCTCGCTCTTACTTAAGCTAATAAGATGATATTTCTCTAAATTTCTAAAATTAACTTTTTCTGAATTTCTGAAACATTTCTTTTGAATATTTTTAAAGTGTTATAATGGATAAATACAAAAATCAAACGATATATATTTTCATACTTCACCATTAGTACCATTATTATTCATTGGTTGAAGCTCGTGCCTTTCCAACATAACTTTTTCTTTCGTTCTCCATCCAAAGGTAGACATAGGTGTAGTTGTTGCGCTTGTAGTAGTCACTCCACTCCCTCCAGTCGCCGAAGAAGCACCGCTGTTGCTACTTCCCTCTCTTTCCTCAGCAATATTATTAAGCAAAAAGCCTGAGGGAGGGGGTCTGCCAGTACTTCCATGCTGGGAAGTCTGTTGGTGTTGAATTAGAATTTGTTGGTCGTGATGATGTGGGGAATGAGGAGAATGATGTATTGAGGTTGGTATACCATGTTGTTGTTGCTGTGTTTGTTGATGTGTCAAGTGTTGATGCTGTATTGGGGAGGGCTGCTGTTTTGTGACTGTGCCAGTATCGGAATCAGCCATCAATCTGGTAGCGGCAGCACTGCTTCCGCTGAGAAGTGAGGATGAGGCAGGACATGCAGTTGAGCCACTACAATCGCCTTTAGGTTTTTTAGTTTTCGTATTTTTTTATTTTGGGGTATTTTACTGACAACAGTTTAATTTTGTCATAAAATGATTTGTTTCCGAAATTAATTACAGATATTTTCTATTATCCCAAAGACAGAACTTTTTAATTTTAATAGACAACTCTCGTTATAAATGCACCGACTGGCTCTACCTCGAGGTAGAATGGAAATGATGAAATCGGAACTATTGGAAATGGCTCAAAAGTAGGAACTTGGAAATAGAAAATCAGCCTAAATTTTCGGAAATCGGAACTCTGATAGACCTCCGCTCTTCATATAAATAATTAACCTCACATAATTTCCTCCTTTCTGTTATTCCATCGATCAAGAGCAAACAATTATTAATTATGTGATTACTTGACTATATACGGTATTATCTTTTATTTCACAAAACCAAAAAAATTAAAATCTTAAAAATCATAGACGAAGAATTCGAGAGATTTGCTCATTTAGCAGGTGTAATTATAACGAGAGTTATTTATTAAGTATTGCTATCGATACTAGAGATCCTCAACCCGTGTTTAGTATTCACAAAATTATCATTTATTAAGGCATTTTCCCCTAAATTCCCAATTTTGTCTATATTTTCTCAATTCCAACCTATGATTAGGCATAGAGCCAATTCCAACTCCACTTCCCCCATGACGCATAAAAGAAGGTGCTGCCTGTCTATTTGCTGTTCCCCTTCCAGGCATTCCAAAGGGTGGAGGTCCACTTCCAGAGCCCAACCCGTGTTGTTGTCCCGTCCCTCCAAATTGTGAACTTAAATTTGTTTTGCCCCCAGGCACTGCACCATCGCTTCTAACAGAAACCAAATCATCTGAGGCTGTTTGGCCAATGTTTGTTGTTTGAGCTGTTATGGCGTTTTCATATTCGGCACCCTGAATTTAAAATAAATAATTTAAAATTTTGGATATATTAACTAGATTGAAGCATATAAGGTACATTTAAGAGCTCGGTTAATTTTCTTTATTTTTCTTAAATTTTTAATTGCCATTAATTATTTCAAATATTTTTTAACGTCAATTTGTAATGGATCAGATAGGAGAGTAATGGTGAATAAAACTACAAATTACATAATATTAAAAAATGGATTTATTCGCCTATATATAAATTTTTATGAAACCAACTTTGTTGATATTTAGAACGAATCTGTTATTTTTGAAAGGAAGTTCTTACTTCCTAAAATTTTCAACTGTTTTATCCTATAACTAGTATGTACATATTCCGTGGTTGCGATGCTTTAAATGAATTTTATAACGATGGACACGTCCTTAAAAAGACTTCTTCTTGCTTTTGATTAATTTTCCTGACAAATTAGGTAATCAAATGATAAGATGACATTTTTACTTTTTCCTTTCAATAAAATTTCCTTTCAAAATGTTACCTGTAAATCCCCCCATCTATGATTAGGCAATCGTCTTCCAGAAGAATTATTTGCAGGGTTACCAACACGCCGTCTATTTCTACGGACACACCAACAGACAAAATAAATACCGAGTAAAATGTAGACCTTTTTAATTCAATTTTTTATTAAATTTTTTTTATAAAAATTTAATTACCGTTCCAGTTAAAAGTAAAAAGCAAACGCGCATCTCATTGAGATACCTAGCAACGTCTGAAAATTTTGAAATTTATTTACCGAAAATATTATTATAGAAACCCGAGACTAATAGAAGCCCATTCAGTGAGGACCAGTGAAAAAAATGCCCTGGATTTCTATTGGGATATTTACGGTGGGTTAGGTACGATTGATCATTATCCCGACTTCGTTAACATTATCCAAAAATATTTGTTGATAAGCAGAAGAAATGGCAAAAGTATGTATAAATCAGGAATGTAGGAAAGATAAATAAAATAAATTCCTAGGGATATCGACTCCTGATCAGTGATGCGGAAATTCCAAATTGTGCCCGGTTCCGGTTCCGGTTCTGGAACCGCTTTTTCAATTTTGCCCGGTTCCGGTTCCGGAACCGCTTTTTTAATTTTGGCGGTTCCGGTTCCGGTTCTGGAACCGTTTTTTTAATTTTGCCCGGTTCCGGTTCCGGTTCTGGAACCGGTTCCAAACCGGTTCCGGTTCCAAAAAATTTTGGCTTTAACTTAGTATAGGTCCACTGAGATCCAAACTCGAAGTATATATCATTCAATTCGTCTCTTCGAGCTGAGTTCAAATATGCAAGAATTTCTTGCGGGAGACGAAAACTCGCAGAGATATAGGCCTCAGAAAATCGAAAAAGGGACCAAACACTTTTTGGGGTGACTCGAAAGTTTAGGATCCGGGTCAGGGTGGACGCAATTGAACAACAACAATTAAACGGAAAACGAGGTTTAAACCAGGGTTGCGTCGTAATTGAAATTTTTTTTTCGTAATCGTAATTCGTAATTCGTAATTTTAAAAAAATTTTCGTAATCGTAATTCGTAATTCGTAATTTTTCTTCCCTTTTCTGCGCCGCAGGCGAAAATTTTGAGAATTTTGGAAGATCCTTAAGCCAAAAATCTTCATTTTCTGCGCCGCAGGCGAAAATTTTGAGAATTTTGGAAGATCCTTAAGCCAAAAATCTTCCTTATTTGCGCATCAGGCGCGCATAATAATTTATTTCCTGTGGAAAAACAATTACTTTGTCATTCATTAAGTTCGGTTCGAACCTAATACAATGATAATTCCTCAAAACTATGAACCCAACACACCATCCATTCAACCACACATCTTTTGAATGAAAAATAAAGATAATCTTATTCACTCGTCTCAATTTTCCCTTCCTTTTCCTCTTACACCTTCCACTTTCGCTCACTTTTTCTTCTTTTGGCCATCATTAGGGGTGTATCTTTGGAACCGGTTCTGGAACCGGTTCTAAACCGGTTCCGGACCTTTACCGGTTCCACGGTTCCGGTTCCAAACCGGTTCCGGGCCTTTACCGGTTCCACGGTTCCGGTTCCAAACCGGTTCCGGACTTTTACCGGTTCCACGGTTCCACTTCCGGAACCGGAACCGGAACCGCACCGGTTCCGGAACCGGAACCGGAACCCCCGCATCACTGCTCCTGATCCATAGAACGTCGGGAGTTCCCGATTTTCGTGAATCTTGTCGGTAGACCATTGGTATGATTATCAGTAGAGTCCGGAATTTCCTAGTAAAGTGTATTCCGTACTGAAATACATAAAATACTGTCGTAATACAGTACAGACCGGTCTCTAATTATCAGTTTATGAGAGAAATAAAGTATACTGTAATTAAATACATAAATAAACTGACCATGGAGATCTTCGGCCATTCGTATGAATTTGTAGGATTCACTGAAATAATTTTAATAAAATAATATTTTAAATAATTAATTTAAATATTTTTATTTTATTATTTTTATTTTTTATATTTTTTAATTTATTTTTAAACATTTTTTTAAACTATTAAAAGTAAAAGAAAGTGTAAGGTAGATAATAAAAGAATGAGAAAAATTGTTTTAAAGCCTCAACCTCTTGCGCACAATGTAATAGTCCATAAATTCCGTTAAAAATGGGTCGTCAGCTGCTCCATTTGGAAGCTTAGCGGAAGCTAAACTGTTGCTTATGTGTTCTCGGGTCATTTGAGTATCTGGCACCGCCGAATTCCGAGGCGGTGTGAAAAATAAAAGACGAGTCTAGAGGGATTTATTATGAGGTTAAGAAGGAAAAATAATTGCTAAATGGCTAATAATGAGAAGAGAAAAGCATTGGTTTAATGGAAAAGGAGGGTGGAAAAAAGAGGAAAAGAATATAAAAGGGGGCAGCTTAGTGAGTACCTTAGAGAACTCAAAATTTCATAACTTTTGAATGGAAAAATATTTTTAAATAATTTTGATACCATTCGATAGTGAATTAAATTTGCTATAAAATAAAATTTAGAACTAAATTTTATGTCAATTTTAAGTAAAGTTATGGTCAAAAAACAGACAATTTTGAACAAATATAGCTATTTTTGAGAGTTTATCGGCCCTAACTTTTTATCAGATTTACCAAAAAATTTGAATATAATCTTATTTTGTAGAGAATTTAATTCTCTACAAGAATCTGTATAAATAATTTCATAACGTTGAACCATTCAAAAGATATAAAGGTTGGCGTAAAGTACTATCATTTAGTTTCGATGAATTGGGTGTTTATAAATAGGGGTTTATATGGGGGTGCCGGCAAGCAAATAAGTGCCTAAAGCAACGTCTGTTATTGTTTTTGACTGGAATCGACCGCCTTTAATTCTCTTTACCAGGGGACAGCTGCCTTTCAGTTTGTGCCGTTTGTTAAACCCTTCCCACCGCCACACACCTTCTTTAGCTAGCCAAACCGTTGATGCGCGCCTTGGGGTCAGGCAAAAGAATGAGTGAATGAATGCTTCGAAAGGGGTGAAAATATGGCACAAAAGAAAAGGGGACACAAAGCTAATGAACTCAAAATTTGATAAAAATAAAATAGAGAGAAGGGGGAAGGGGTAAATCTGATGATTGCTTTATTGCATGGAAAAGTCGTTTGGAAAATAAAATGAAAAAAGAATAAATAAAAGTATTTATTCAAATAAAATATGGAAACAACAAAAAATAAATTAATTTAATGTTTATTTTGAAAGAATGAGCTGTAAATAATTTTCATTTAATGCCAATAATAATTAGAAGTTAATTTATTATGGAGGGGAAAAATAAGGGAATCTGTGATTTAAAATGTTTAATTTAAAAAAGGTCGACATTAGGACTAAACTTGAAATATTAAGGGGGAGTTATGATTATTATTCGACTTTCCCGTGGCTCACTCATGGATAATAAAAAATATTTGCACAGATTGTATGTGCCCCATGAAAGTGCTTATCGGGTTTTTAAAGTTAGTACCATCTAAACAGCGCCATGACCTAAATTTTGATAACTATTTTCAAGTTCAATGCCGAATTTTCAGTATTTGAGCTAAAATAAACAAATGATATTATCAAATTTGTATTGTAATAGTCATTATATTTTTTAAATTATTTGATTAAAAAATTAAAGAAGGAAAAACTTTAATAAAAATAAAGTCAGAGAACGGAAAGATATTTTGCAATCCATCAACATAAAAAATCATTATCAGTTCTTCATACAAAGTGCTTATTTAGATAATCCAGAAATTCCTGATCGTTTAATGAATTCAGATAATCTAAATCCAGATCTGTAGCTTGTTGGTTAAAATGTTCACCGTGATGAAACTTTTCTTGTTCATAAGGGCAATAAATTGGATTCTCAGAATTGGTTTCCGAATCATTATTTTGTTGAGAAGGAGTATCTTTTTGTAGATGAATAATTCCTTGAGATAATTGACCGTCCTCTTTGGAAACAATCGGCTCTTTTCCCTTATTTCCACTTTCAGTATTCTGTGGATTAACAAAAGAAGTTCCTTCATTATCATCAGATTGAATGCTTGTAAATTGTGAAATATCATTCTTTGACATTTCTTTTTCCATCTTCTTTCTTAGTCGGTATTTCCTATTATATTCACGATTATATTCTCTCTTTTTTTCTTTCTTATCTTCGTCGTGGCCTTCTTTAATCTTTTTATAAGACTCACGTCTATTTTGAAGAATTCTTTCTTTATTCTTCTGGTAATAATCTTTTTGATATCCTTTCCTATCCTGACTTTTTCCTTCTTTTTTATTTAAAGTTTTTTTATTTTTTATTTTTGGTTTTAACGTTTCTTTATATTTTTGAATTTGGGGAGCAACCGATGATTCAGCCCCATCATTTAATATTTTATTTAAATCCTTAGAGCTTTCCTCAACTCTACCTAACTCGTTTTGATTTTTATTATTTTTAACAGAATTAATTAAACTCCATAATATCGAATTGAAGATTAAAAAGATTAAAACACTATCAAGTTTCATTTTAATTTAATTTTGAATTTAAAATTAATTTTTTAATTAAACAAAAATAAATTTAATTTAAAATGAATGCACACAAATTAAATGAAAAATATTAAATCAACTTGACAAATTAAATTTACAATAAAATAAAATTTTTGACATAGAAAATATTTTTAAACATTATGAAATAGCTTATTTATTGAGACGCATATATTGCGTTATGTTATGAAAGGTAGATATATAGCCATAGTCAGAATTATTTCTTAATTAATAACAGGAAAATAATAATTTTAAACAGCCTTTTATATTTTAAAATAAATAAATATTTAATAAAAAGTGCAATATTACAAAATATTTTTTGAATTAATTTATTAAAGCTATTAAAAACAATTTAAATAAAAGTGCATCTTTTTTTTAATAAAATGGTATCTTGATAGGATCTGTCGGAACTGCAGTCGTTCCGGAAATCGGAACTTTTAAAATCGAGAATGGCTCAAAAGCCGCAAATCGGAATTCCGAACAACCTCTGATCTTGATATGGTGGAATTATAATTTTAGATACCGTATATGTATGCTCGATAATTACCCTGGGTAATTAATGTTTCGACCTCTCGCTGGAAGGGGTAATTAATCGAGAGGATGTGTTAAATTTTGGGTATATCTCAATAAATCGAGGAGGAAATCCATTTATTTTTTGACATTGATTCTTAAAATGCTTCAATAATTAAAATTGACAATGATTTTTTCAATAGTTTTAAAAATAGATAAGGAAAAGGAGGGGGTAATTATTAAAGAGGGTAATTTTTCGAGCATTTACGGTACTTATTTAAAGAGGGAATATAATTTACTTGAAAATCTGCAGATTTAATAAGGATATGTTGGAAAGTAAAGTGGTTGTTTTCGGATTGTCTGTGTCGGTAACTGTAAATAAAGAAACAAATAAATATCAAACTCATTCCGTATACTCTCTCAACCCGAGTAAATTAAAAAATTGTCTAAAAAAATAATATTATGGATTGTCAGATAAATCATGAGCCCTTTGCGAATTTCTAGTCTTTTTTCATGTATAGGTATTCGAATTTTAAGTAAAATTATTTTACATTTACTAGAGTCGATAGTTCACGCTTTTTTCTATTATTCAAAACCATTTAAAAAATTAATTTTGATTTTTGCAGTTTTTTAAAAATTTTTTAAAATTATGCCCTCAAAATCTAAATTCGGACTGTTTATTTTGTATTGCTTCAAAAGCGGTCTAAGTATAACTCAAGCAAAAAATGCCACCTTGAAGGGCACAAGTCGAGTATATTTTGCAATAATTAAGCAATGGTACAAAAAATTCGTAATGGAGATATGGGCCTGCATAGAAGTCATTATTTATCTGACAACCCATGAAATATTTATGTCTTCAATTTTAAAAATTGTAAGTGATTAAGGATAAGATTAAGTAATTTGACTGTATATATTAATTTGTTTTTTAGTTTAACTTAGAGATATATCGGACGGATTTACACAATCGATTTGGCTAGCTAATTCTTCACAATAAAATTCAAACTATAATTCTTAAATAATTAGAACAGTAAATGCTATTTTGTAATTAATTTGCTTTTTGATACTAATTTGAGTGCCATAACAATCTGTGGGCAAAAATAAATGGGCAATTAAATATATCCGCTTCAAAAGTCGCATATGTATAAATTAAAAAAATAAAATTAACAGGAGAAAATAATAAAAAGACGAGATATTGGCATTAAAATAAATATAATTATAGCTAAAAATAAGGAATTTTATATTTTTTGGGTCATTCGATAGGGAAGAAAACATCATACAAAATGTATTTAAAAATCAAAATTTAAGATAGCCTAAAAGAAGGCTAAGGGTCAAAATAAAAGTTTTATGTTGAATTTTAAGTTTTTTCTGATATTTTGCCTTATAGAAAATAAAATTATGTTATGTATCAATTTTGGTAGCTAATTTAATTCTCTTTCAAATGATACTATAAATAGCTACATATAAATTTTGTCAAACAAAAGTAATCTGCTATAAAGCTTACTTATTTTGGGCTTTACCTAAACTTCGCAGTTATTTGTTTTTAATTATGTTCCCCAAACTTTTCAGTTAAAATTTTCATTTAAAAAATTTCTTTAAACTCCATTTTAATGCCAAAATTTATTTAAAAAAATAATTAAAAATATTATGCTTATTATTTATGGAATACATATAATGTCAAACAGCTAAAATCACTCAAAGACATGCTCTATCTTCGGTTTAATCCATTTTTTTATTTTCAACGTCAGCTTTCTTTCTTATATTTATTTTGATCCTTTTTTTCTAACCTGATGTTAAATATAAATTTGATCGTTAGTTAAGCTGCTATGATGGATTAACTAGGAAATTGTCTTCTTTCTAGTTGAGGACATCCCCCACACTCAAATGAAATAGAAAAAACAAGTTAAATGAAGATAGAATGTATTGAAATATTGAAAGAAAAAGTTTTTAAACTTTGATATTAAAGGGCAATAAAAATAATTAATATGGAATAAAAGTTTGGATAGAGGATTATAAAAGGATTTATAATAATAGAAGACGAGATAAAATTTTCAAAAAGAATACGTCATTATCCTAGATAAAGAATTATTATAATTAGGGTTGTTGGCGACCGGTTAAAAACCGGTACCCTCGGTTTTCGGTTTTGGCCGGTTTACGACCCCCGGTTTTCGGTTTCGGTTTTCGATTGACCCCCGGTTTTTGGTTAACCGAAACCGGTTTATGCCTGAATTTGCCATAAAGAATATTCAATTCACATTTTATTGTATTATTATGCTTCAATGAAGTATTCTACAGATCAGCCAACGAAAATTTTGTTATTTAGAGCCGCAAGTGAAAATACAATGCTGGGTATGGGCTATTTATTAGTTTTGGCTCCTACGGAAAATAGATGAGAGTTTTGGGATGTAATAAAATCCACCTGAATCCTTGCAAAACCTCCAATTTCTTTTTCAGCGCCGCAGGCGAAAATTTTGAGAATTTTAGATATCAATTAAATTTTTGCAATGTTTTTTCAATTCTGATAATATTTAAAAATAGATTTACAATTACTAGATTTCATCAATTTCTGCGCAGCAGGCAAAAATTTTGAGAATTTTCAAAGGCCAAGAAGCAAGATTTCTTCCATTTTCAGCGCCGCAGGCGAAAATTTTGAGAATTCTGGAAGGCCTGGAGACTAAATTTCATCAATTTCTGCGCAGCAGGCAAAAATTTTGAGAATTTTCAAAGGCCAAGAAGCAAGATTTCTTCCATTTTCTGCGCCGCAGGCGAAAATTTTTAAAATTATAGGACTCCACTGGAAATTTTGACTTGTTTTTTTCACTTTTTTTAATATTAAAAATAAATTTCTGGTATAAAATAAAAAATTAAGTTTAAGATTTTTAGTTTTTGGAAGTAAATTGAAAATAAGTCAACTTTCCAACTTTGGATTCGAACCAGTCCCATACAAGAAATAATTTCAGTGAACCCATCAAGTAGCCACTCAGCCACACACAATGTAATGCGAAGCAGTGAAAAAATTTATTTATTGAAGGGGAAATTAGGAAAATTATTTTGGTGAAGTGTGTTTTGGGAATTCAAATGGCCAATAAATTCCCAAAAAATTCCATCTTTAGGGGTGTATTTTATAAACCGAAACCGGTCGGTTTAGGCCATCGGTTTTCGGTTTTCGCCGGTTTTTGACCCCCGGTTTTCGGTTTCGGTTTATTGGCCAAAAACACCGGTTTTCGGTTTCGGTTTCGGTTCGGTTAACCGACCGCCAACAACCCTAATTATAATGATTTATATTTATTTATTAATACATTAGCTTCTTTCTTGTTTGAATATGTTATAGAAACAAAAGAAATCTGACCTTTTGTACAACCTTAAGGAAGGAAAATGTAAGGAAAAAAGGGGGGACCAGCTTCAGAATTACCAAAATTCTTTGCCTTATCTAACGAGCAATTTTAATTAGAAAATTAAGGAAAATTAAATAGGTATGAAAAAATATTTGGACATCATTTTTTAGCCTAGAAAAAATAAATATAGAGAAGCAACAATATATTTTTTGTGTTTTCAATTTAAAATTCATGCACTTGTTTATCTGAAATGTGTTCAGGAATTAGGAAAAGAATTTAGATAATCCAAAAAATAAGAATCATCCAATAAACTCAGATCTATTAAATCATCATTATCGTCCATTTGTTGAGTATGAAGGCCATCAGCCGATTGAACATTTGGTTGTCCATTAGGGCCAGCAATTGAATCGGAGGATAAATTATTTTCACAATCATCCGTGTGTGGATTGACTAATGAAGTTTCTTCAGTATTTCCATTTCCTTCCACATTATGAGAAGATTGAATAGGAGTATCTTCTCCTTCTTCAGCATTATCATTCACTTCCACATCTTCTCCTTTTTCTAACTGGATATTCTCTTTGGAAACAATCGGTTCCTTTTCCTTACTTTTACAAATATCAGGCAATAAATTTCCTTCATTAGATTGAATATTTATTAATTTTGAATTAATATTTTGCACAATTTCTAATTTATTTTTTTGTAAATTTTCTAAATTTTCTTTCATACGCCGTCTGTTATTTCGATTAACTTCACATATCTTTTCCTTATTCTTTTGATAGTAATTTTTATTATATCCTTTTTTCTTCAACTTTTTTTCTGGTCCATCATCTTTAGTTTCGATTTTATTATTTGTGCCTTTAACTTTTCTTGATATTTCTTACTTTGTCTAGCAACCGAAGATTTAGCCCCATTATCTAATATTTTAGTTAAAATATCCGAGGCTTTCGGCGATCCAGAGTTATTGATAAAATCATTATTCTCAGGATTAACAAAAGAAGTTCCCTCACAAAGGAGAGCCTTTTGGGTGTCCGTGGGACTTCGGGATGAAATTTTGTACACAGGTAGATCATACCCTTTCTATTAAAAATCTTGAACCATTTTCGCTGCGGGGTACCAGGGACCGAGTTATAAGCCTCCAAAGTTTTGACATCCCCCGCATATAAACAATTTCTTTTTAGGTACAAATATGTTCTTCGGTGGTGCAGTGGTAACGTTCTTGCGTATAACTTTTTCCCCAAGGTTCGAGTCCTTTTTCGGGTAATTAATTTATTTTAACATAATTTTAGTTTTTTATTAATTTTGTGATTATTATCCGAATGTTTTCAGCCAAAAAATTTTTTAAAAACTTTTTTTTTATTTCGTAAATATTTATTTCTTCCCCTTATCCATTCACAGAGTGTTCCAGAAAAAGCTTGTGTTTATTCCTTTCTTTTTGAAAGTGTTTTCAAAAAGTTTTTAAAAAACTTCAAAAAAATAGAAAATTTTTTTAAAATTTTAAAAATAAAATTTTCAAAAACAAAAGCGAAAATTATGTTAAAATAAATTATTTTCCCCAATGGGGATTCGAACTTGGGGGAAAAAGTAAATTCAAGAACGCTACCACTGCACCACCGAAGAACACATCGGTGTATAGATAGAAATTATTTATATGTAGAAAAGGAAACTGAGGGGGATCCTAAAACTTTGGGGGCTTATAACTCGGTCCACGGTACCCCGCAGCGGAAATGGTGAAAATTTCATAACTAAAGTAGGGTATGATCTATCTGTCTGCCAAATTTCATTCCGAAGTTCCACGGACACCTGACAGCCTCTCCTTTGTCAGTAATATCGGATTGAATATTTCTTAATATAGAAATCTCATTTTTTAAATTTTCCGTCACATTTTTCTTTTTTTCTCGGTAATTTCGAGCAGATTCTCTCTTCCTTTCTGTATTATTTTGGTAGTATAATCTGTTGTATTCTCTCATCTTTTCTTTATTATTTTGGTTGTATAATCTGTTGTATTCTAGTTTCTTTTCCTTATTGTTTTGGTTGTAAATTCTTTTATGTTCGAGTATCTTTTCTCGATTCTTATTTCTGTAGTTTCGATTATATTCTTTTCTAATTTGTTAAAATTTGCAGAGCTTCTCTTTTCTTTTAATTTTTCTTTATTCTTTTGTTGATAATTTCGAAAATATTCCTTCTTCTTTTCTTTATTCTCTTGGTAATAGTCTTTTTGATATTCTTTTTTCTTTATCATTTTGTCTGCCAAATTATTGTCATTCTTGTACATTTTAATAATTTTTGGTTTTAATATTTTTTTATATTTTTGATTTTGAGGATTAACCGATGATTCAGGCTCATCATTTATTTTATTTAAATCCTTTGAGGTTTCCTCAACTCTAGTTAATTCGTTGTGATTTTTATTATTTTTAACAGAATTAATTAAAATCCATAATATTGAATTGAAAATTAGAAAGATTAAAACACTAGCAAATTTCATTCTAAGTTAATTTTAAAAATTAATTTAAAATTTACTTGTTTAATAATTTTATTTAACTAATATAATAATAGACTTTCTTATATTATGTAAATATTTAAAAAATAATTATGACGCAATGAGAATTTTATCTAATGCCGCAAAGAGAAATTTATTTATTAATTATTGGCAGACAAATTAAGAAATATTCAAGCACTTTAAAAATATGATTTAATAAACAAATAAATATTCATTGAAAGAAAAGTGCATCAATAATAAATATTTTTTGAGAAATTAAAGAAATAAGTTATAAAATTAAATTATTATTGTCTTGAAATTTAATTTTCAAATTTATTTTTGCACTTTTAATTGTAGGGTTTGACCCCGAACGCTCGGGGGCGGGTATGTCGGGGGACGGGGTTTTCATTTTTTTTCGGGGCGTGGTTCGGATCGGGGAGAATCGTGAAAAAAATCGTTCGGGAACAGGTCACTCTACTTAATTGTCACAGTTTATTGTCCCAATTTAATAAAGCTACCTGATCAATTCTCTAAAACTAACATCCAAATCTAATTTAGCTGGGTTCTGTACAGCATAAATACCGCCAGGATGGTGATGACTGAGAGAATTTGGAATAGCCGCCTCCCTCGTAAATCTTTGGGAGTGATTAGAAGAGTGTTCTTGGAGGGGGATTGAATGGAAAAATAGGCTATTTAAAGCTTTTGCCATAAGCAAAAAAGGGGATTTTGGGAGAAATGAAAACGAGAAAAGAAGAAAAGGCTTTAAAGTTATGCCAAACAGGGTGTGGAACAAAACGTCTCGTTTGGAGAAAGAAACTCCCAAATAATTTGAAAATGATGAGAGAGCTCTTAGCTGCTAATTTAATTTGTTGGGGTATGTTTTTGGAAATGCATAACATTGATTCCCCATGGGAAACTGAGAAAAGAGTGAGAAAAAAAGAGAAAAGAGGTGTTTGGAATAAAACTTTAAAATAGAAAATTTGAAATGAAAAAAAAATAATTTTAAAAAATTTGAAGATATTAAAAAATATATTAGAATTTAATATTTGAATATAACTTGAAATATACACAATATTAAATTTATAAAATTTTTGCAAATTTATTATTAAGAAATAAGAGTAAACGCGCAAACGTCGGGATAGGCGCATTGCGATATTTGCGTTACATTTTGGCTTTGCGTTATTTGAAATTGTCTCTTGTGCCAGCCCCTGGTTGGCACAAATTAACTATCTATAGAAATTTCAATGAAACAACAAGCTTTACTGAAAATCGTATGAGCAATATTCATGTTTCTGACTTATCTAAAAATGTCGGGAGGCAAGTCTTGTAGTCAAGACAAGTTCTCGCCTCAAAATCAAAAACAGTATCTATCGAAATGCACTTTTAGATATAATTTATAAACATCAGACTGTCAAATTGCCCTTAGAAATTTCGTAACAACAAAAATATTAGACAAACAAAAATAAAAAATTTTCGCAATGCACTTTTCTTATAATATGAAAAAATATTAAATAAAAGTTATAAATTATTTCATTAATATATATTAATTCAATTTTAAAAATTAATTTAGAATGAAATTTCTTAATGTTTTAATCTTTTTAATTTTCAATACGATATTATGGAATTTAATTAATTCTGTTAAAAATAATAAAAATCAAAACGAGTTAACAATAGTTGAGGAAACCTCAACAGATTTAAATAAAATAAATGATGAGCCTGAATCATCGGTTAATCCTCAAATTCAAAAATATCAAGCAACGTTGAAACCAAAACCTAAAGTTACAAAAATGGAACCTACTAGAAATGACGAAGAAAAATTGAAGAGACAAAAATATGATAGAGAATACTACCAGGAGAATAAAGCGAGATTATCAGAAGATAGGAGAGGCTATTATCAAAAGAATAAGGAAAAATGTCGTAAACTTGTGAAAAAATATCAACAAAATAATAAAGAAAAAATAAGAAAATATACTCAAAAATATTATCAGCTTAATATCGAAAGGATGCGAGAAACTTCAAGAAACAACTATTTAAGAAAGAAAAAGGAAAAACAAATGCAACAAATTAACAGTTCAAAAGTCCTAAACATTCAATCTGTTAATAATGAAGGAACTTCATTAAGTAATCCACAGAATAATGCTACTGAAAATAAAGGAAAAGAGCTGACAGTTTCCAAAGAGAACGTTCAATTATCTCAAAGAATTATTCACCCACAAAAAGATAAACTTTCCCAATCAACTCTTAATGAGGAGGGAATTTCATCTGTTAATTTACAGAGTAACGATTATTCGAATAATTTAGATGACACAATTTATGACACTTCTAAACGAGAAAAATTACAAATGGAAAGCAATCCTATTCAAAAAGAGGATCTGGAAAATTTGCCCGATTTGAGTTTTTTTGAAGATTCAAATTTTTGGGATGATCCGAATTTTTGAGGATAACATGGATTTTTTAAAAGAAGTATGTATTAAAAGACTCTATCATATTTTTTTAACATTAAAATATTTCTTTAATTCTTCATTAAATTATTTTAGCCTTTACTTGTTTTATTTAAAAATAAAAAGAAAATTTTGTGGATTAAAACGGAAGCCAGAGACACACTAAATTTAATTATTAATGAATTTCAGACAACTTAGGTGAAAAATTTTCGACTGCGACGTTAATAAAAAATAAATTTATTTCTTCGACTACTGGCCGCACAAACTCCCGGCAGAAAGTGCACCCCCTCCCCTTCTTAAATCTGTCCTTTTTATTTATTTTTCTAATATTTGGAAATTTATTATACCCCCTCCCCTAAGTTTTTCCCTTTCATAATGCGCATTTCAAAATCTGATAAGTGCAGGATAAGACATGGCTGTCTTAATAGGACCTTATATTTTGTTAACATAATTGATAACTATAGTCATTTTGCCAAATTTTCAAATTTTTTAAAAACATTTATAAGTTTTAAAGAATTAATTAAATGATTATCCCCCCTCCCCTCATCACTTCTTACCCGTTCTTCATGCTCCTTTCCAAATCTGATAGGCTCAGGATCAGCACACTCATCGATGTTTAAACATAAATAAATAATTTTTTGAATAAAAGAAGAAAAATCAAAAATAATAAAATTTTGTTTAATTTTTGTTGAGAAGGCAATAATTAATAAACTAGAATCAAAAAGAAATTTAAAAATAAATTGAATTTAAAATTTGAAATAGGAAAAAAATAAAAAAAATTGAAAATAATTTTCACTTTAAAACAATTTATACATTAATTAGGGTGAAATTAGATAAGAAATGTAATAGACACATTCATATAAAAATTAGTTATGAAATTATAGCCGCAAAAGCTGAATATGGTTGTCAACAAGAGTGGATCGGAATTCCGATTTTCAGCGTTTTTCTATTTCCAAATTGAGTTCCGAGTTCCGACTTTTGAGGCAGTTCCGATTTCCGGCTCTTCCAATTTCCGACACCTCTGACTGTCCCTACCCACCTCTGTTGTCAACTTGGACTCGTTTTGGAACTGAAACACAGTTCGGTTTGGATCATGTAATAAAAGAGGAATAAGATAGTTTTCAGAGATTAAATTTGTTTTCTGTCAACAGACTAATTTATTATTGGAGAAACTTTTATGAAATAATTATTAATAGCAATAATAAGCCAAAAAATCAAGCGGATAAAAATAAAAATATTATGACCAGGGATTAGTCTACTCATCGATCATAACCCTAAGCTAACAATCAATCAAAATATTTTTGGTAAAACATGTTTTAATAATTTAAGAGGGCAAAAAATAAATTATTTTGTTTAAAATAAAAATGTTTAAAGTTGTTGTAAAAATATTGCAAAAAATTTTTTTATTTTATGAAAAGTTTAATATTTAATTAAAAATCACATTAAATAAAATATTATTAGTTTTGATATTTTCCAATATTTTTAGATATTATTTTAGTCAGTCTGTTAACAGACTAAAATAAGTTAGTTAAAAAAATATCAAAAAATGTCAAAATAGATTCTCATTTTGGCTAAAAGTTAAATTTTGTTGAATTAAATTTATTACCGTGTAATTAATAAAAATTAAATTTTCATGAAATAAAAAAATTTTGTATGAATTTTTTAATGAATTTTAGACTAAATTCCCAAAATTTCAACAAACTAGAGACCGGAAGTGACGAAATCTCGATCGAAAATCTAGGTTATCTAGATCGAGCATTTATCGAGAGCTAAATTCTCGACGATAATCCCAGTCCGGTCTCTTATATAAACAGATTTTAGTTTAGAAAATGTATAGATAGATTTTTAAAGTTCAAAAGATACTATGTATAGATAAATACAAAAGATTATTTCTTGAACGAATAAACCTTATCCTACAAAATTAAAAAAATTTTGCTTCTTCTATAATAATTTATTTTCGTATTGGAAAATATATTATCCAATTTTATAAAAAATTTTTTCTATATAATATAGAATTGAAAATGGTTTTGGTTTTTTCCTCAGAAAAAAAAAACCGAGGATTGCGCGCTTATGGATTCCATTTATTCGTCCATTTGCTTAATCGAAAGTTGGGGGTAGCTGGTGCTTTCAATTAAAGCTCTAGCAGCGTGGGAAAGCTTTGGACAGAATATTTAATGTGTGAAAAAGGGGTGACAAATATTATTAATACAGAAACGGCTGCCGATTATTTTCCTCAATATTTCCCCTTTCTCGGCAAATTTTTATAAAACCTGTCAATCGATTGACAGGCTTTAATCCTACGGGGATTTGTATCCTCCGGGGATTGTTTTTGAGGTAATAATTATTTAAATATTAGAGGATGTCGTCTTTTGTTTAAGGAGGTGGGTCAGTTGGAGTGAAGGACTGGTTGAATGCTAAATTGAATAACTCGTCTGGAAAAAATATTTTAAAATTAATTTTGGCATCATTCGATAGAGAATTAAATTTGCTACAAAATAATATTTAATTGAGAATTTTAAATTAATTCTGAAAAAAGTTATGATAAAAAAACTGTGTATAACGGAAAATGAGACAATTATTTTGAACGGAAAATGAGTTTCTTTGGCCTTAACATAAATTTATTTTTAACAATTAATTTTTAAAATTGTAGATAGACTCTCCTCTATCAAATGATACCAAAATCATCTTAAAATCTTTATCCATTCTTGAGTTATAAAATTTAGAAACACCCTTGTCTGTGTCATTTTTTATTTTTTCATATATGTATTTTTGCCTATTTAACTCATTTTTGGATGTCTCCAGGTATTCATTTCTATCTCCATGGGAATAATTTTTTTATTATTTTACTTGAAACCTTTTTTCTCCTCTTCTTACAACAAAAAATGCAAATTGTTGGGTGAACAAAAATGTCCTTTATGGCCTAGAACTTTTGCGAAAAAGCAAAAGAGAATGTTAAAAAGATTTTTAAGGCAAGTTTTAAGCATTTTTTACTTATTTTTTATTAAAAAACAAGGTGCCAATTTCTTAAAGCTTTTTTACTTTAAAAAAGAACCTAACAATTTCCATTCCATTTGCGCCACTTAAACATAATAAATAATATCTGAGACTATTTGAAAATTTTTTCTTTGAAAACAAGCCGTTTTTACACAATATACATTAAATCTAACAGAGGAGAATAAAAGAGAGGAATGGGGATGGGGGGATTTACTATACATATGTATGGTAGTGGGAAATATTATAAAAATAGAGAATATTAAAAACTATTAGTGTTGTCGGTTCTTGGAAAATCTTCGGATATCCAGAACAGAATATTAGAACCAAACATGTCGGATATCCGTAACTCAATCGAAAAATATTTGGTTATTTTCAGAACCGACAACCCTATAAGTCCAGAATTGACAACCCTTTAAGGAGATTAATTATCAGAAGATTTTTATTTTATTGATAGGGGTTGGGTTCGAAAATTGATGTGTTGACGTTACAAAATGTACTCCTGAGGGTCAATCTTTTAACTTGGATTTCTCATTATCTACATAATTGGATTCCTCATCATCAATCCCAGGGATGGCAATTTTCCTTTGGAAAAATGTGATCCAATATTTTTGTAAAGTTAAGCGTAAACATAAAGAGGAATCCAAGTTAAATGATTGACCCTTCATACTACCCCCTAATGCGAAGGGAAATCCGAAAATGTCCATTCAACCCAGGATTAAATAGACCGTCAAAACTTGATTAATAGACAAATAAAACACAAAATAAAACAAAAATGGATAAAAAACATTAATGAATTACCCGTATTTATTGAGAAATATAGAAACTTTTCTGTGCGTTTCCATGGGAAAAACGTTAAAACATAAAATTTGTAAAGTGTGATATTTTAAGGTATTAAAGAAAAAAACAAGCATAAAAGGTGGAATTACGAGAAAGTGGAAAAAAATTTTTTCTTTTATTGGCAAAAGGCTAAAAATAATCGGTCGTCCATGCGCAATACATCAACTATGAAAAATTTTGTTTTTAAAAATTATGAAAAGGAGAGAATCTTCGGCATGTAAAAATTATGAGAGAGAAAAAGACTTTAAATTTAAAATTCTTTTTGGAAAAATTTTGAAAAAGAAAAGTGAAAAATAAGAGGAAAAAGCTTTAAATTTTTTAGTAAAGAGCATTAAAAGGTATGACGGAAAAATTTATTTAAAATAAAATTTAAAATCTACATATGTACGTAATTAATTTAAATTATTAATTTGAGAAAATAAAGTCAACAATTCATATGTTAATTATTCCAAAATCTAAAACAGGTTGAAATAGGATTTCTTGATAAATTAAGAGAACAAAAATTAAAAAAATTTTATTAGAAATGATTCGAAAGAGGAAAAAAATTGCTGTAAAAGTTTAAAATCAGAATTTTAAATTAATATCCAACATAGTTATATTCAAAAACTAAAAAATATATATGATATTGATAGATTTTTGATCACATCTTATACGATTTTTATCTGAAAATTTGATTTATATCCTCATTACTTTCTAGTAACTTTAATTCTCCATCGAATGACAACAAATAAATCTCAAAATAATTATTAAAATCCGCGTAATTATGGCATCTTTATATCCGCAATAAAATTTTAATTTGCCTTTTATTAATTATTTTTAGCAGATTGCATGGGTTTTGGACATTATTTAATAATTTTCAGTTAAACTTTATCACATTGGGGTCTCTCTTTATTAGCATAGTCTTAAAAATAAAAAATACTAAAAGAAAAATCTTTTTGGCATTACCGGAAGGCATATAACACTAAAAGAATAAAGCAGGGTGAAAAGAAAAATGCCACCAAAAGTGACGGCATTTTAGTGGTTGTGGTACTGCATAATCTGGTGTGGGAAAGAACAGCCAAATTATGGGGCAATTTGAAGTTAAGTAAAGAGGGAGATCGGACAAATAATTTAAAAAAGCATTGGAATTAACCAATATAGCGGAAATAAAAGAAAAAAATAGTGGAGAATTGAAATTGATGCTTTTTGAAGCGTGAAAAGAGAACAAGTGTTAGAAATAAAAGTGCCAAAAAACTATTGAGGGATAAAAAGAAAAATTAAAGAATTGATTATGATATAAAGACAATTTTAAGGAGCTTTACACCCCTAAGCAGATTTAAAAAATGTACCAATAGAATGACTGTAAGTAATTAAGATACTTAAAGTAAACAAAAATTTTCGAGAAAACTTGAATAAAAGAATATTTGAATTTTTATATATTAAGTAGATTTTTAGTAGAAAATTCTATACTATTAAAAGACTGAAAGTAATCACAAATTTAAGAGAAAACTTAAATAAAAAAATATTTGGATTTTTATATATTAAGCAGATTTTAAGAAAAAAATTTTATTTGCAGATATTTAACTGAAAATTTTTTTATAAAGCAAAGTCTAAAATTATAAAAATAAAGCTTTATTTAAAAGAAATAATTTAGCAATGTTTTTTCTTCAAGTTGACGGAGCTTTAATATCTAAATAGTAAATACCCTTTAATATAACAGATCAGGCAATAATTGTCTTTTAGCTGTATTAAATTACTTGCGGCATGTGGGCAAAGTGGATTTTAAATATTTTTAAGAGTAAAAAATTTATTTCTTTATAAAAATGTGAAAAGTTGATTTGTGTGAAATATAATATATTTTAATATGTGAAGTGTGAAGAAGATTTTGAAAAAAATAATTTTATTATTTTTTGCATTTATTTTTTACTTTTTTCTTAAAAAGGTGCAAATAATATGTATATAGAGAACTTATTTTTAACAGAATTAATTCAACTCTATAATATAGAATTGCAAAGTAAAAAATTAGTTATAACTTGAATTAATTTAAAAATTAATTTTTAAAAATATATTGGTATGGAAAAGAGAATTTTTCATAATTCGATTTGAATTTCTGTTTAAAATTCGAAAATTATAACGGAGGGGGTCGTTAGATCAAGTTAAAGGGTTATAAATTTATATAAAGCTGTAAAATATACATATATTTATTTAATTCCTAAGGCTGTGCAGTAGGCGGCGAGGTGTAATGGATAACAAATCAGCTCGGTCTAGTGAAGATGCTGGTTCACAACCTTTTGCACTAGCCGAAGGAGAGAAATAGCTATAGCGTATCTGCTTTACTAAACTAAAGTGATAAAAAATTGATTCATAACAGACTATTGTAGAAATCTCAAATGAAAATTGCACAAATATTGTAAAATTTCTAAAATATAATTATATAGGTTTATGCTGTCGAAAAATTCATTGGACGGGAGATGGAATACAGATAAAATATTTGTCAAAATATATAATAATTTCTATCAATATGTTCAAATATTTTTTAGAACAGCCTTATTATGAAATCTTGTACTTTTTATTCAAAAGACATTGCATTATATAAATTTATAGTCAATAGATATCCAAAAATTTTTATTAAAATAAGCGTGAAAAAATCATGAAATTCTAAATAAATAATTTTGAATATAGTCACAACTGTATGTGAATTTCACAGATTTCTTCATAAATATTAATATTTCCGCATATTTATTTAATATAAATATTTATTTTGTAATTAAAGTACAAGGTTTCATAATAAATAATAAAATGTTATTTATCGTTAAAAGTAAAGTGCATTACTTTAATTTTCTATTTTATTGTTTTTTATTTTCGAAATTTCAAAGTACAAAATCACAGACTTTATAAATTCTCTATTCCTTCTTATAAAAAACATTTTCTTGTAGTATTTTTCGTTATTAATAAAATTATTTTTTATTAAATTTAAAATTAATTTAGAATGAAATTTATTAATGTTTTAATCATTCTAATTTTCAATTCGATATTATGGAGTTTAATTAATTCTGTTAAAAATAATAAAAATCAAAAAGAATTTAATAGAGTTGATGAAACTTCAAAGAATTTAAATAAAATATTAAATGATGGCGCTGAATCATCGGTTGCTCCCCAAATTGATGAATACAATAAAGAAACTCTGAAACCATATAAAAAAATTACAAAAAAGCAAAAAACTGAAAATAATGAAGAAAAAAGGTTAAAGAAAAATGAATATATGAAGAATTACTACCAGCAACACAAAAAGGAGAGACAAGATTATAATCGAAATTATCTACAAAATAATAAAGAAAAGATTCTACAATATAATAAAGATTACTATCAAAATAATAGAGATAGAGTGGTTCAAAGTGTAATAAAGTATAGTAAAGCTAATAAAGAAAAGCGTCGCGAATATCAACGAAAACATTATCTAAAGAAGAAAACGGAACGAGAAATCCTACAAAAGGATATGTCAGAATTAGTTAACATTTTTCCTGATAATGAAGTAACTTCTTTTGTTACTCCACAAAACGACGAGTTTATTAGAAAGGACAATATTGGAAATAAAGGCGACGAAAAAAAGTTAGCGAAAAAAGAATATTATAAAAATTACAATCAAAAGAATAAGGAAAAGAAAAGAGAATATGATAGAAAATATTATTTAAAAAGAAAAAATGAAAAAGAAAATTCACAGAATGATAATTATATCAATAAAGGTAAATCGCCAATTGAATGTAAAGAGAATGTTCAGATAAATAATAAAGAAGGAAATGATAATACTGAAGGAAATTCATTCGTTAATAAACAGATGTCTGATTGTGTAAATATTTTAGCTGATACGAATGCTTGTCATCATGAGCAACCAAATGTTCAATTACCTGACAGTCTTCATATTCAACAAATGGATGATCATGATGATTTAATTAATTTGAGTTTTTTGGACGATCCGAATTTTTTGGATGATTTTAATTCTTTTCTTAATTCATAAACATATTTCAGATAAACAAGTGGATTAATTTCAAATATGAAAACAAAAAATATCTTTCCGTTCTTTGTATTTTTTTTCTTAATTATAGCTGTAAGGAACTGTTATAATCTTCCTTTCTCTACTCATTGTTTTAATTTAATCATTCTTCCTTTTCGAATTTGTTTTATTAAAGAATAAGATATTTTCTATTCTCACTAGAGTACTATAACAAGTTTAAAAAGTAATTAAGCTGAATTAATTAAATGAAAACATAATTTTTTAAATATTGTACTTTTTATTCAACTGACATTACAATATATAAATTTATAGTCAATAGATTTCAGAAAATTTTTATTAATAAGTAAAAAATTGAAATAATGATAATTATTAAATTATCATTATATTTGAATATTTATTAATATTATTAAATATTAATTTTTTATAAATTTATTTTTAATCTTTAATTTCAAAATTAATTTTTATTTATAGATTTTTTAGTTTCTCATTATTAATGCAGCTTCGCAAACCAACATAAGATGTTTATAGTTAGAAAATTTTGTGACAGCTTTTTGATATTTTTCTTCCCTTTTTAAATTTTCATTCTATTAATTTTGCTCAACAATTAAAATCTATAAATAAAATAAATAATATCTTTTATTTTTATTCTTTTTAATAAGTTTTTGAAACTAATTTTTTGGAGAAAGTCTAAATTATTTTTAGACATTTATTTACAACACATATTTTTTGCGGCCCCTATTTTTATTAAAAATGAGCGTGAGGAAATTATGAAATTCTATGTTGATAATAATTTTAAATATAGTAGTCGGAAACTGACTTTGAATTTCATAAATTTCTTCACAAATATTAATAAATATTTCCGCATTTTATTTAAAATAAATATTTATTTGTAATTAAAGTACAAATTTTCATAATAAATAACAAAATGTTATTTATCGTTAAAAGTAAAGTGCATTCCGTTAATTTTTTATTTTGTTGTTTTTTAATTTCGAAATTTCAAAGTACACAATCAGAGACTTTATAAATTCTCTATTCAGTCATATAAAAAATATTTTCTTGTAGTATTTTTTGTTATTAATAAAATTATTTTTTCTTAAATTTAAAATTAATTTAAATGAAATTTATTAATGTTTTATTCTTTTTAATTTTCAATTCGATATTATGGAATTTAATTAATTCTGTTAAAAATAATAAAAATCAAAACGAGTTAAATAGAGTTGAGGAAACCTCAACAGATTTAAATAAAATATTAAATGATGGCGCTGAATCATCTAGATTTACTGAAATCACTAAAAATGACGAAATTGGAAATAATAAAAATGAAAAAAATTCAAAGAAAAAAGATGCACATAAAAAATACTACCAAAAGAATATAGAAAAAATTCGAAAGTATTACCAAGATAAAAAAGAAAAAGACTACTATCAGAAAAATAAAGAAAGATTGTGTAAAGCTAGCAGAAAATACTACCAAAATAATAAAGAACAGAAGCAAGAATATAATAGAAAATACCGATTAAGAAAGAAAACTGAAAAGGAAATTCAACAAAATGAAAATCCAAAATTAATAAACATTCAAGCAGATACTAGCGAAGGAACTTCTTTTATTAATCTACAGAATACTGATTGTGGAAATAAAGGAAAAGAGCCGATTGTTTCTAAAGAGAACGTTCAGTTTGATCAGGGTAATATTCATCCACAAAAAGATGCTCCATCTCAATCTACTCTTAATGAGGCTATAAATACTAAGTTTACTAAAATCACTAAAAAGGACAAAATTCGAAATAATGAGGAAGAAAAGCTAGAGAAAAAAGAAAAATACGAACAAAAGAATGAAAATAAGATTCGCAAGTATTACCAAAATAACAAAGAAAAATGGCAAGAATATTATCAGAAAAATAAAGAAAGATTGGATAAAGTTAGAAAAGAATACTACCAAAATAACAAAGAAAAATGGCAAGAATATATGAAAGACTACAAACAGAAAAATAAGGAAAGATCGACTGAAGTTAGAAGAGAATACGAGCGAAATAATAGAGAAAAAAAGCGAGAACATAATCGAATATACAACCAGAAAAATAAAGAAAAGAAGCTCGAATATATGCGAAAATACCGATCAAGAAAGAAAACTGAAAAAGAAATTCAACAAAATGAAAATCCAAAATTAAAAAACATTCAGGCTGGTACTAGCGAAATAAGATCATTTGTTAATCTACAGAATACTGATTGTGGAAATAAAGGAAAAGAGCCGATTGTTTCAAAAGAGAACGTTCAGTTTGAGCAAGAAATTAATCAACAAGAAAATAATACTCCCGTTCAACCTTTTAAAAATGTTGGAGAAAAATCGTTTAATTCGCAAACGAATTATGATTGTGGTACAAATTTAAACGACCCAATTATGTGCCCTTTTGAAAACGTAAATTTTCATGATGGAAAACTTAACCAACATGACGATGATTTAAATAATTTAGGTTATCTTTTAGAAGATCAGAATTTTCTAGATAATCTGAATCAATTTCTTGGATCACCAAGAAAAAGCCAAAAAAATAGATTACACAACCAGAAAAATAAAGAAAAACTGAGAGAATATAGATGTGATTATTATAAGAAGAATTATGAAAGAATCGTTGAAGCTCAAAGAAAATATAGACAAAAAAATAAAGAAAAGAAGCAGGAATATATGCGAAAATACCTATTAAGAAAGAAAACTGAAAAAGAAATTCTACGCAATGAAAATCCAAAATTAAGAAACATTCAATCTGATACAATCGAAGGAACAACATTTGTTAATCCACAGAATACTGATTGTGGAAATAAAGGAAAAGAGCCGATTGTTTCTAAAGAGAACGTTCAGTTTGATCAAGGAAATATTCATCCACAAAAAGATGCTCCTTCTCAATCTGCTCACAACGAAGAAGGAAATTCACTTGTTAATCCACTGACGGATGATTGTTTGAATAATTTAATTTGCCCAATTAATTGGTCTTGCGAACAAGAAAAATTTCAAGTTGAAAAAGGAAATCCGATTCAAAATAAGGAGGATATGGATGCTTTGCCTGATTTGAAATTCTTGGAAGATTCAAATTTTTGGGACGATATGAATAATTTCTTATTATGATATATACTTTTAAAATCAACCAATTGATGCTAAGAAGTTATTATATTGAAAACATAAAAACATTTCTTCAATTACTACTATCGTAAATCCTCTAAATTAACCCGCGGCTTATTTTTTCGATCGATCTCTAGAGGAAGCTTATTATAGAGGAGGGGGGCTTATTTGGAGGGGGACCTATTTTTAAATTATTTGGAGGGAGACATATTACTATAATTTTATAAATATGTTTAAATTTATTTTTTAGAACAGCCTTATTATAAAATTTTTACTTTTTATTCAACTGACATTACAATATAAAAATTTTTAGTCAATTGATATCAGAAAATTTTTATTAAAATGCAAAAAACTGATATAATGATAATTGCTAAATTATCATTAAATTTGAATATTTATTAATATTATTAAATATTAATTTTTTATAAATTTATTTTTTTTATAAATTTTTTAGTTTCTCTTTATTAATGCAGCTGCGCAAAAGAACAAAGATGTTTATAGTTAGAAAATTTTGTGACTTTTTTTGATATTTTCCTTCGCTTTTTAAATTTTCATTCTATTAATTTTGCTCAAAAATTAAAATCTATAAATAAAATAAATAATATTTTTTATTTTTATTCTTTTTAATAAAGTTTTTGAAACTTTATAATTTTTTGGAGAAAGTCTAAATTATTTTTAGACATTTATTTACAGCACATATTTTTTGCGGCCCCTATTTTTATTAAAAATGAGCGTGAGGAAATTATGAAATTCTAAGTAAGTTAATTTTGAATATAGTCGGCAACTATCTTAGAATTTTATAAATTTCTTCTCAAATATTAATAATATTTCCGTATTTTTATTTAAAATAGATATTTATTTTGTACTTTAAGACGAATTAAAGTACAAGGTTTCATAATAAATAATAAAATGTTATTTATCTATAAAAGTGCATTACGTTAATTTTCTATTTTGTTGTTTTTTATTTTCGAAATTTCAAAGTGCAAAATCACAGACTTTATAAATTCTCTATTCCTTCTTTCAAAAAATATTTATTTGTAGTTTTTTTGTTATTAATAAAATTATTTTTTCTTAAATTTAAAATTAATTTTGAATGAAATTTATTAGTGTTTTATTCTTTTTAATTTTCAATTCGATATTATGGAGTTTAATTAATTCTGTTAAAAATAATAATAATCAAAACGAGTTGATTAGAGTTGAGGAAACCTCAAAAGATTTAAATAAAATATTAAATGATGGCGCTGAATCATCGGTTGCTTCCCGAATTGAAAAATATAAAGAAACTCTGAAACCAAATAAAAAAATTACGAAAAAGCAAAAAACTGAAAATAATGAAGTAAATAAGGTAAAGAAACACGAATATATGAAGGATTACTACCAGCAACACAAAAAAAAGATACAAGATAATAATCGAAATTATCTACAGAATAATAAAGAAAAGATTCTACAATATAATAGAGATTACTACCAAAAGAATAAAGAAAGGATTCGGAAGTATTACCAAGACTACTATCAGAAAAATAAAGAAAGAATGGGTAAAGTTGGAAAAGAATTTGAGCAAAATAATAGCGAGAAAAAGCGAGAATATATGCGAGCATACAACCAAAAAAATAAAGAAAAGAAGCAAGAATATAAGCGAAAATACCGATTAAGAAAGAAAACTGAAAAAGAAATTCAACAAAATGAAAATCCAAAATTAAAAAACATTCAGGCTGGTACTAGCGAAATAAGATCATTTGTTAATCTACAGAATACTGATTGTGGAAATAAAGGAAAAGAGCCGATTGTTTCAAAAGAGAACGTTCAGTTTGAGCAAGAAATTAATCAACAAGAAAATAATACTCCCGTTCAACCTTTTAAAAATGTTGGAGAAAAATCGTTTAATTCGCAAACGAATTATGATTGTGGTACAAATTTAAACGACCCAATTATGTGCCCTTTTGAAAACGTAAATTTTCATGATGGAAAACTTAACCAACATGACGATGATTTAAATAATTTAGGTTATCTTTTAGAAGATCAGAATTTTCTAGATAATCTGAATCAATTTCTTGGATCACCAAGAAAAAGCCAAAAAAATAGATTACACAACCAGAAAAATAAAGAAAAACTGAGAGAATATAGATGTGATTATTATAAGAAGAATTATGAAAGAATCGTTGAAGCTCAAAGAAAATATAGACAAAAAAATAAAGAAAAGAAGCAGGAATATATGCGAAAATACCTATTAAGAAAGAAAACTGAAAAAGAAATTCTACGCAATGAAAATCCAAAATTAAGAAACATTCAATCTGATACAATCGAAGGAACAACATTTGTTAATCCACAGAATACTGATTGTGGAAATAAAGGAAAAGAGCCGATTGTTTCTAAAGAGAACGTTCAGTTTGATCAAGGAAATATTCATCCACAAAAAGATGCTCCTTCTCAATCTGCTCACAACGAAGAAGGAAATTCACTTGTTAATCCACTGACGGATGATTGTTTGAATAATTTAATTTGCCCAATTAATTGGTCTTGCGAACAAGAAAAATTTCAAGTTGAAAAAGGAAATCCGATTCAAAATAAGGAGGATATGGATGCTTTGCCTGATTTGAAATTCTTGGAAGATTCAAATTTTTGGGACGATATGAATAATTTCTTATTATGATATATACTTTTAAAATCAACCAATTGATGCTAAGAAGTTATTATATTGAAAACATAAAAACATTTCTTCAATTACTACTATCGTAAATCCTCTAAATTAACCCGCGGCTTATTTTTTCGATCGATCTCTAGAGGAAGCTTATTATAGAGGAGGGGGGCTTATTTGGAGGGGGACCTATTTTTAAATTATTTGGAGGGGGACATATTACTATAATTTTATAAATATGTTTAAATTTATTTTTTAGAACAGCCTTATTATGAAATTTTTACTTTTTATTCAACTGACATTACAATATAAAAATTTTTAGTCAATTGATATCAGAAAATTTTTATTAAAATGCAAAAAACTGATATAATGATAATTGCTAAATTATCATTAAATTTGAATATTTATTAATATTATTAAATATTAATTTTTTATAAATTTATTTTTTTTATAAATTTTTTAGTTTCTCTTTATTAATGCAGCTGCGCAAAAGAACAAAGATGTTTATAGTTAGAAAATTTTGTGACTTTTTTTGATATTTTCCTTCGCTTTTTAAATTTTCATTCTATTAATTTTGCTCAAAAATTAAAATCTATAAATAAAATAAATAATATTTTTTATTTTTATTCTTTTTAATAAAGTTTTTGAAACTTTATAATTTTTTGGAGAAAGTCTAAATTATTTTTAGACATTTATTTACAGCACATATTTTTTGCGGCCCCTATTTTTATTAAAAATGAGCGTGAGGAAATTATGAAATTCTAAGTAAGTTAATTTTGAATATAGTCGGCAACTATCTTAGAATTTTATAAATTTCTTCTCAAATATTAATAATATTTCCGTATTTTTATTTAAAATAGATATTTATTTTGTACTTTAAGACGAATTAAAGTACAAGGTTTCATAATAAATAATAAAATGTTATTTATCTATAAAAGTGCATTACGTTAATTTTCTATTTTGTTGTTTTTTATTTTCGAAATTTCAAAGTGCAAAATCACAGACTTTATAAATTCTCTATTCCTTCTTTCAAAAAATATTTATTTGTAGTTTTTTTGTTATTAATAAAATTATTTTTTCTTAAATTTAAAATTAATTTTGAATGAAATTTATTAGTGTTTTATTCTTTTTAATTTTCAATTCGATATTATGGAGTTTAATTAATTCTGTTAAAAATAATAATAATCAAAACGAGTTGATTAGAGTTGAGGAAACCTCAAAAGATTTAAATAAAATATTAAATGATGGCGCTGAATCATCGGTTGCTTCCCGAATTGAAAAATATAAAGAAACTCTGAAACCAAATAAA